AATTAGGCCGAGTTAGCATTTGAGACGTGATTCTCTGGATATTTTGAGCGTGCATGGACAGAATGTTATAAATATTGCTTAGTTGCTCTTGCATCATTTTCATCAAGTTATCGCTTAATTCATTGAATCTCGTCTCGAATGCATTAGTACTAAGATTATTATTTATGGGATTGTTGTGATGGGGAGTAGGGTTGTTGATGGGGAGGGGGAGGATCGGCGTAGTGTTAATTTGACGGTGTGGGAGGGGGGCGTTAGATGTGGCGTTTGCATAAGAAATGTTGTCGTTCCTGATGTTACCGTAGCTGGTGAGGCGGGTGCGGTGCTTGTTGATTTTGTCGTCAATCTGTCGTTGGTGAAGTTCCTTCTCTCTTTGTCGTACTCCTTTGACGAATTTCAGGTATGGGCAGCCTCGGTACGATGCGGGGTGGCCATTGCTTCCGCAGTTGCAGCAGTACAGGCGGCTTTTGTCCATGGAATCTTTAGGGATGGGACACTGCTTTGGGCCGTGTGCTTCGCCGCATTTTACGCAACGGAATTTCATGTTGCAGCTAGCGCTAGCGTGGTCGGTTCGTTGGCAATTCTTGCACTGGAACACTTCGTTTCGCCGGAGGTCGTCCCATTTGGCTCGTTGATGAGCTATATGCCTGACTGCTTTCAAGGCTTTGATGTCGCTGTCCGTTGATACTGCGATGATGTAATAATAGAGATTCGGGTTATTTTTGTTGTAGCGTACTTGTTGCACCTTTTGTACGGTTACTTTTGGTATTTGTAGACTGGTGATCTCCTCCTTGATTTCGTCAGCAGAGTAGTCTCCGTAGATTCCCTTTAGTACCAGGTTCTTTGGCTTTCTTTGCTTCGGTGTGTACGTGAAGAAATCAATATTTTTCTCGCGCAGGACGACAAGAACTTCGTCGAATATTTCGAGATTTGAAGTCGATACTGTGAAGCAATCGGTGTCAGTCTGACGTACAACGAAGTCCTCTTTCCCAAAATTGCTGTTTGTTAGGAGTGAGATTAGAGTTTTTAGCGTGCTGTTCTTAACGAATATTGGCGGAGATTTGTACGATGTGCGAGCAGGCTGAGTAGCTTGGGCTTGAGGCCGAGAGCGGGCCGTGTTTGTGGTTTGATCGGCCGATATATTCAGGCTGGCCGCGCGTCTGGTCGATTTGCCGTTACGTCTGCTTGGGGCTTGTGTTATGCTGTTGTCTGATTCGTTCTCGGAAACTTCCATCTCCGATGAGTCACTGAATGATGCGTAGCGATTGTTGTCGGGCGAATTTTCGAACATGACTTGTTGTGGTGCTCGTTGGATTCTCTTCGTTTTTCGTGGTTTTTCCCACGAGTCACCTGGGCTGTCAGCTGCGCTGCGTTTTTTCGCATTTTCGTCCACTTTGTCAGTGTTCATTGGAATGTACTTCTTCTTTCTCTCAACGAAGCTTGGTTGGATAGGACATTTGAATTTTCCGCATTTGCGTAATGCGTCCTTAAACATTCTATCGAGCTTATGCGGGTCAACTTTGCCTGTTAAATACTTAGTGGCTGACGCGACAAGGGTTTGCGTGGAGATTTCGTCGTGCGTTTGGCGAGCGTTGACTTTTTGTCCGTTGCTGCTGTCAACCGCCTTTGCGTTCGGGCTCGTAGCTGAGCTTTGGTGGTTGTTCCCAATGGCCGCGGTGGGCGATGTCGTTCCATTTGTGGGCAAGCCGCCCGAGTTGTCATCTTTTCCGTCGGTGTTGGGCATTTTGTGCCCTTCACGAGAAAGTTTGAAGCGATGAGAGACGGGTACTCGGTGGTGCCGCGTTGCCGATGGCTCGCCGCGCCGTGCGCGTGCGCGGCGGCGCTCGCCGATCAAAATTGCACGGTCACTCTCGTTCGTGATGTTTTTCGTTTTTCTTTTCACGGAATATGAGGCATCTGCACTCGATCGGTGGGTGGTGAGATGAACTGTTCACTTGATCACTCGGTTGTCACACATTGAGGCAGGAAAAGCGATCCTCACTCCGTGAAATAACGGTAAAGTTGCGGAGCGATCGGCATGCGACCAGTCAGCTCGACGGCTCGTGCCGGACCCCCCTCCTTGGCGGGTCTCCCGGACCCCACGCATGATAGGTCGTCTAAACGTAGAATTTTCCGCTCTTTCCGAATCCAGGATCGAAAATAGGGGTTTCTATTTGAAAAAACAAAGTTGACCTTCGAATGACCTTGAAAATGACCCTCAAGGTCAAAGTCAAGGTCACCATAATATGTCCCCCTCGGAGACGAGTAACTTTTATTCAAAACATTTTTCGCTAGCTCTCATAGTTTTTGGGTTATCTTGGTGCGTAAGTTAAAATGGGACACCCTGTATATAATGCTGAGCTTTACAAATTATTGAATGTAAAATAGCATACAACAGCGATTACATCTTGCACAAGCTGAAAACTGTAAGCTTTTATTTATGAATAATCAGCTTATTGTAAATAAAACAGAAAGTATCTTATGCTCAAATAAAAATTATCCAGATGATTAATTTACATAAATGAATTTTTTTTTTAAATAGACGAAAAAATTGAGAAAACAATACATTACCCTATCACACGAAGCTAATCGAAGAAATTTTTCTTTATATCAAATTTTTCAGTTATTTTGTGTATTCAAATTGAATATTGTATCAAAATGAAAACTGTGCATAAATGCAACTCTAAATTGAACAATATTATTATTTATATATTTTTGTCCTTGTCATACGAGATGCCGACTAGGCTTATCGTAGAGTACGTTAGACAGTGTAACTTCTAGGAATAAAATAATTTTTGGATAACGTGATAATTTAAAATTCAAAATTTAGAACTAGGCAAAAATTGCAATCTACGATCAGGAAATCAAAGTGGATTGAAGGAACATCAAATATAACTTAATGATTATCAAAAAAACGTATATCTATTTCCTCAAAATTCTTTTCACTGACACTTTTGAAAATTGTAATAGGGTGGCGATTGAAAAAACAGCTGAAACTGCTTCTTAAAGAAAGGATTTCAAAGGGTAAATTATACTGTTAATTATTTTACGCTAATGCCAAGAAACCATGGTTATGGAATAAGAATATTTCTATAGATCGAATTGTTTCAGTAAATCGCACTAGATCCAATGACTATCATATGGTGGAATCGTTAAATGAAATAAATATTGTTCCTAATGTTTTTTACGTATGCGGAAAAGGAAATGAAAACATTTAAACTATGTAGTATGGCAGTGCGAACTGTACGATAAGCAACGAAAACAAATGTACCAAAAACTCTTTAAACTCCGTTCATTTCGTTCCCTTTATGTGGAAATGCTAATTTAAAAACCGTACTTTGCCGCTTGTCAATGTATAATTCACAAAACACTGCAATTTAAAAATATAAAATTGAGCAGAGCATTATGCGCTGGGACTCAACTTTACACACGCTTAAGCAAGCATACCTAAAATCTCGTCCCATACACGTCGTGTTGAAAAATTACTTTCTCGAACTATTATGGAAATGTACTATTGAAGATCGAAGCTCTATTATATGAGTTAATTTATTTAAAGCAAATACTAAATAATTTTAATAATTTAATATTTCTGAGGATTCCTCGTTTACGGATTCTGATATCTTTTACGAACGTTCTATTTGACATTTGTAATGTAATATTAATTGTTGTTTATGTAATAAGCTATGAGCATGTGCAGATGATAGTATTTATAAAGAATTATATTTTAATGTTTACAAAATTGTTGTAGAAAAATCTTTTAGATATTTCTAGTAGGATTACCAATGGCGTGGATATTTCCTTATCAAATTTGCATTTACGCAAATACACCTGTTAACGAGTTCTTTGACATATGTGAATTTTCTATAAACTTTTTAGACCTTTTCAGATAGAGACAGTAAAATAGGTAAATTTGCAAAATATATTTCTTAAATCCTGCAAATCCTACAAACAAGTAAAACATTGTAATAACATATTTTCAAGTTTTGTGTTTAATACTTTTGTAAGTGACAATGATAAACAATGAAACTCTTTCGTATATTGATTATTAATTTTCATTTATAGGTATAGAACACTCAGTTTATAATTTATTAAATGTCGGTCAGTGAAGACGATGATATCTCGCATGAGCTAAAACTGTAAATTTGCAAAATTGAAAGTATGTCATGCTTGAATGGCGGTTCAAACGTGCGATCGAATTCAATTTACTTATTTTTTGAAACAAAAATAATCGATAAAAATGATACAAACGTACACAATTGTATCGTTGGAAATAAATTTCTCGTGTGTTGTGTTTATCTAATTTAAATTTTGCTAAAAAAATACAAAATACGCTCTATACAATGATAAAATATAAGGAATATTTCTTTATCGTTCTGTGAATTTTTTTCACAGAGATAGTGGTAGATTGGATTTATGACAGATTGAGGCAGTGAATTTCTGTAACTTATACAAATCAAACAATCTTTAACTTCTTAAGGAGCTCCAGCTGTGTAAATTTATTATGGAAGCTATTTTCTGATATGCATAAATATTAAATTTGCGCACCCTGACTAGTCCACTAAGGAGCTTCGTATCAATCACATTTCTTAACAAATGTTAAAAAATCCATAAGCAAGAATAAAGCCTATTCGTAACCCTCGCGACCGCTAGTCAGCATCGTTGATAAATATAGCTTTGTTTAATTTAATGTATAATTTATAGAAGATAATCCTTGCTAAGAAGGATTACGTTTAGTCGAAAACACTTTGCAGAACTTATAATTATAATTTAGACTTTTTTACGTTCTCTTACATTTAACGTATAAAAGCATAAAAAGTTTCGTACACGTACTTCAGTCAGACTAAGATATACTGAGATATCTTTTAAAACCTTACAGCATATAGAGAAGCTTCAGTTACATAAATTATTGTCTCTAATTACTTCATGTATGGATATACTAAGTTAATGGACGTTTGCAGTTCTTGTCTTAGCAGTTGTAGCTTCTAACTTAGATTATTTATTTGTAGAATTCGTTAACTATTGCAGAAGTCAATTAAGCTTTATTATATACATTTTTTAATCGATAATAAAAAAGTCAAATCCATGGAAACGTTTATATTACCTATACATTAACATTTTCTAACAGTGCATCCAATATTGCCGATTCCCTTTTCAGGAATCTCTTGGTCAAATCTTTACATGAAAACTACAAATGAATAGATTTAGCAAATAAAAATATAAGCTTACAAATGTTTTTGTGAATTTCATTCATCTGTGAACAATTCCGCAACATTAAGTCTTCGTGACAGCATCTTGATGTTTGGATATTGAAGTTCTAGAACTCTAAATTATATGGTTTTAATGTTAGACTGACAATTGATCGAAGCATAATAGATGTTCAATTGAATTTTAATGAAAGCAAATAAGAGTCAAGTTTTTTTTATTTGATATAATTTGTACGATTCAAGTGAAAACACAATAAGTTTTGTAATCATGTAATTTGATCACCAAGTGATATCAACTTTTGTAACGAGTGTAACTAATAAAACTTACAATAATTATAAAAAATTAAATTACAATATCTAAAAAAGATATAAAATATCATTGAATACAAAATTTGAAATTATAAAAAATTATCTCGCAAGATATAAGAACTTACTTTTCTGCACTAATTAGGTAATGTATTAAACGCGATTAAGAATATTACTATTAGTATGCAAACATAAATCAGAGTGTAAAGAAACAAACTAGCCTTTTCTATTAAAAATTACAATAAATTAAAATGATCTTATACCTATATAGAATTTATTTTGAATACTTGTGTAAATGTTCGTTATATTTAAAAATTTTATTTTTTATTTTTAAATAAAAAAACATGTATGTATGTGGGTCTAGAGATACAAATAATGTCTTTGAAAATATGTTACATCTTACTATACAACAATGTTCTTGAACCAAATTTTACCAGAAGTAACAATCAGTAAAACTTAACAGTCGCATAGTCTTTTTAACACACCGTGCGAAAAGTATGACTTTGCCGCACGCTTGGCGAAAGATATGCACTCAAATTCACGCTTTCCACACGTTGTTTTGAAAAAACTGTACCTACTTAATGTGGGAAAGTAGATTATTGTCTTACGTACCTTTCTAGTCTTTGCTTGGACGTAAACCTCACGCAAGACAAGAATCTTTTTTCTGCACTAGTTAGGAAATGTACTATTTACACGTGACTCATTCATTATATTTTACTTATACATTATTGCAATCATGTATCAGTAGTACTTTGAATAAGTGGTATTATAACAACGCTATTTTTTGCTTCAGGGATACGCCACCATCTTCCTAGTCTGTGTTCCTGTCCAACACCGGCAATAAGAAAGTTTCCATCAGAAGTAAATGCAAGAGAGTTTATGAAACCGATTATTTTTATTTCAAATAACGGATGGATACTTTTAAATGATTCTCCACATTTCCATAGCTTAATGATGCCATTTCGAGAACCTGAAACAGACGCTAATTTGTTTATTTGCAACTGTTTGGTATCTTATACATTAATACTAAATAACAAAAATTTCGAAAATTAAAAACATATGTCTAGACCTAAATTTAATTGTCCGTTTTATTTGTGAATTAACATACCTAAAATTGGATTATTCTACTCAAACATTTTGTTGTATATTTTTCAAATTATAATACGTTTCTTTGAATATACAACAGTATAGTCATAAGTTTCTGAACTTGAGTAATTGTAAAAATACAATATTTATCTTTGTTCAAAGTAACAATGACTTATCGAATACAGAATATGAAATTTATTTTTTTTATTTAAGTAAACTATTTAAAAAGCTTTAAAATATGTTTTGAAAACAAACCTGACGCTACTAAATCCGTGTTCAGTAATGCTGTAACACTTGATATCCACATTGGTAGACCATTCTCTTCATCTTTTCCATGAGCTTCGAGTATGCAACACAATGGTTTCTTTTTTAAAGCACCCCATATACATAATTGCCCGTCATCTCCACCACTAATAAAATTTTCGTCATTTATAAATTTGACCATATCTATACTACTGCCATGACCATTAAAAATCAATTGTGATTCTTCGGCAATCTTCCATATTCTTACTGTTCCATCAAATCCACCACTAGTTATAGCTCTTTCTTTTGATAGTGCATCAATTGATGTTATTCCACTCTGATGTCCAAAAAGGGATTCAACGTACGCCATATCATCCAAATCCCATACTTTTATACATCGGTCCATTGATGCAGAATACAAAGTATGAGTATCTTTTCTAAATACTAGTGCAGAAACAATATCTCTATGACCTTGTAAATCTTTTATATGACTAAGGTCTGATGATGAAAAGACACTTATATTTTTTGAACCATCTGATCCTGCAGCCTAGAAAAATATTTTCTAATAAGTTTGAAAAAGATCTATAATGTATCATTAAAAATAACTGAAAATATGAAATATAAATTCTGATTTTACCAAAAATTTACTATCTGTACTGACAGCGATGCATTTGACAGATTTTAGTCCTTGTTGATTTTTTTTACTTTTGCCCTTCAATGATTTTACTTTTTGCCGGTTGGACAGCATCCCTGTGAAAGTTATATCTATATAAAGGATCTATATGCAAATGAAATAAATGAAATATTAAATTTTTTAATATACTCACATTTCACTATACTACCATTTTTGGAACCAGAAAACAAAAATTGACCATCACTTGATAGACAAATACAAGTAATAGAATCTTTGTGATCTTTGCTCCTCAAAATAAAAGGCTCTTTATGGCCTGTATATTTATCAGCTACTAATTTTCTTAATCTACCTTTTGTTTCTAAATAATCTTCTGTTAATCTTTTGGCAATAGCACCTTCTTCAAATTCTTTTCTGTCCCGCACTACAACAAATAATCCACATTGTGATACCCAAAAACATAAAATAACCAAAAACTTAAATATTTTGTACCTTCTTCTTCTATCTCTGCTAAATATTTTTTAGCCAATCTGATCTTCTTTTCTTGTGCTGTTTCTTCTTCTTCTGAATTACTATCAGATTCGTAATCATTCCTTTATAAGAAAAAATAAATTGTATAATTAACATTGATTACAGAAAGTTAAAAGTTATTATGATAAACTGAATTACCTCTTTTGTTCTTCTGCCAATTCTTCATCTGTACTAGCAATACTTTCATTATCATCAAAATGCTTTTTAGTTTTTCTTTTTGTTTTTTTAGTTTTGGAATCTTTTGTATTAAAGCCATTTATCTGTGATCCATAAAAAAAATTGTATTAAAAATGAATCCAATTTAAATTGTTAACTTTTTTGTTAAAGTTCTTATATATAACTTAATTAAGTTTCTACATTTTTCTAATTATAGTTAAAAAGAAATAATTTAAATAAAAAGATAATAAATATCGAAAAATAAAATTTTCTAACCTAAAATTTTAAGAAACATTGCAAAATTAAACTTAATTGGCAACGTTAAATTTTTTAATTAACTTACCTTTCGCTTAGAACTACTAGTATCTCGCTGATTTCGAATAAAGAATGACATTTTGATAAGAATTATTAATCAAAAACAATTTAGAATATCGTCATACTATTACGTTGTTAACCACATGGTATAATACACGGGGAAGTATCATCCAACTACCATCATTATTCCACCATTTATCACGCTAACCACGCGCATTTGCTGTTTGTACTGCGCTTGCGCACTTAAAAATTGCGCAGGCGCATCCTTGTGAAATATATCGGCGTCTCAGTCAGAGTCCTACCGCCATCTAGTAAAGTAAAGTAAAGTAAAGTGAAATAGAATTTCAACTATTTCCATGTAAAAGTGATTATTACTATATATTTTACTTTGCAATATGTTGTATAACTAACCTCAATTGTAGTTTCGAACAATAAAACGTATCATCAAATAAATGATAATAATTTTTATCTTTGATATTTTACTTTTACAGTAATATGGTTTAGTGATTCGTTTTTGGTTATCAAGTCGTACAAGCTCTGTTGGAATATTTTATATGCGCAAATCAGAGTTCACGCGAAGAAAAAAAAAAGTATTAATGGTTTGCTTTGGTACATATATTTTTACTATAGTATTTAACGTATATTTAGATAAAATAAATAGAATTATTCATTAATGCTTTAATATTGATCTTCAACTCGATAAATATTAAAAATGTGTAATATAAAGGATATAGTTATGAATGCAAGCTTCTGCTAAAACTATAGAAAAGCTCGAGAGAGTTTTTTCGAAAGCCTGATTATGAGTAAACAACATTAATGATCTCATATTAAATTAACGAATTTATTATAAATTATGAAAATTTCTATAATTTTATTAAAATTATTATCTTATAACTTCACTAATATACATTTTGATAACGTAACTTTGCGACGAATAGAGATTCGTTAATGCGAGCGCATATGTAAGTACGGAGCTGCAATAAGAAACCTGTGAGTAGAATCGAGAGAGAGAAATAAATTAAGAAATTTGGCAGACATTGAGCGTGTGTAGCTTTATGAAAGGAAGAATGCGACACGCAAGTCGTGACTAGATAGAGAGTACAGCTTACAGGCTGGCTAACGTCGTGCATGTACAAAATAAAAGAGTGCCTCTCCCTTCCTCTCATCTTTGCAACCAAGTATATAACGTTAACTCAATCAACATCGTTGTAGCTCTTCTAAAACAAATCATTTTTGCTTGTTATAAATATTTTGATTACTGATCTAGAAATCATTTGTTTCATAAGCGTTGTTATAACGTCGAGTCAACATTGTTTCGTATCTAGTTACAAAAAAGTTATAAAAATGTTGCGTGAATACTGTTCTTTGGAAAAAAATGTTTTATGAACTTGTAAAAATGTTATAAAAATGTTATGCAAAGGTTGCCTCACAAAATGAAAAGTTATAACTAGCATTCTGGAAATGTTTTGGTAACATTATTTTGGAAACAAACGTAAATAACATTTCTATACCATTTTTGTTGGCTGCGGGAAATGTTTGATATCTTGCAAAATGTATATTGCAGCAACATTTTTTAAAATAATAATTTAATAATTATTGGGTAATAAATCGGGATTTATGTGTTGAGTTCCATAGTCTGAGACTACTATACTTACAAATAATGTGTATAATTGTGAACTTTACTTTAGGAAACACGTGCAGATCGCCTATTGCCGAAGCTGTTTTTCGTAAATATGTCAAAGAAAATAACTTAGAACAATTTTGGGAAGTCGATAGTGCTGCATTGTTTGGGTACCACGAAGGGAAAAACATAAATACAAAGTCTAGAGAGGTCCTTGAAAGAAACGGCATTGTCGATTACAACCACGTTGCCCGCATTGTATGTACATGCATATATATTCTTACCAGAAATTATGCAACCGATAAATAGCGCTCTCGGAAATGTCATTTTTAATTTTGATTTGTGACATTATTAAATAATTTTTATTTTTTTTCCACGATATGTATTTCATTTTATTTCATTCTTACAAATATTTATAATTGCTAGCAAATTGTAGAACTATTTTTATGTCACTTACCTCGAATAGCATTTTTTTTTCTTTTCTTTTTGCACAGATAAATAAAGAAGATTTTCACAATTTCGATTGGATTCTTGGAATGGATTATTATAATCTTAATTTACTAAGTGGTATGCAACCTCAAGGAAGCTCAGTTAAAATCGACCTTTTAGGCCATTATGACCCGGAAGGAGAAGTCGAAATTGAAGATCCATACTGCGTGTGTATTATTTCAACTAAAATAATCATTTATTTTGTTTAATAATTCACAATTATATTTCGTACAATTTTTTTTCAGGACCAGCAGACTCATAAGTTTGAAACAATTTATAGCCAATGTATCAGATGCGTTCAATCATTCATTGAGAAACATAAATAAATTAAAGTAACATCATACTTGTTTAATCTAATAATTTACTAAACCCACATCTCTAACTACATAATTTATGTAAATATTTGATAAATATAGATCGTAGTATCTTTAATCATTGACATGTGCGAGTTTCACATGATATTTAAAGAAAAAAATAACTATATAATAATCACGACATATTTTGTTAGAAACACAATTTTAAGGAATAAATCATTTAAGACCGTTGGCAAATCGACATCTATACAACTAAATTATTTCTATAAATGAAGAAGGAATTATTATTAATTTTTTTATTCGAATTGCAATTTATATATTGTATGTCCCCGCGTATTGGGTGGGGGGTGTCTTTATTTAAATGGGTATATTTTTATTAGATGGTTTTATATCATTACTGGTTTACTGTTGAGATTAGTCCAGTAGTTATACGGAAAAGAGCCGAAAAGATTTTTAATTAGAATAGGTTTGTTAAAAATCTAGCAGTTTACTGTTGAAAAATATGAAATTTTACAAACATGTAGTTGGCAGTTGCACTAACTAGCCAGTACTGTATAAAATTTTGTGAGCACTGAACCAGTACTTGAAGAAAAATAAGTTTTTAAATTTTGAAGAACTGTTTGAATTAAACTAAATAAATAAAAAAGAATAAAAGTAAAGTTAATTAATAAGTTATTTCGAGTGAATAATTAAATAATAAATCCATTAGTTTACTTGGACTGACATTTTGTTTTCGGAATGATGCAACCATGTAATTGAAAGAAGTTCTATGGTGAAAGATATGCTTGTATAATTGGTACTTCTTCAAACAAAAATAAATGTTGAATTATTAGGTAAAATGCTATTAGGTTGTTTTTAATAGAAAGCTAAGATAAAATACTTTTATTCTAAAAAAGTTAGCACACTTTGTATAAAAATTTTACCGATTACACTGAAATAAATTTAACGTTAGTATAACTTTAGAACGAACCAATAATATTTTTAAATAAAAAGACCAGATTTATCATTTCTACGATAAAATTCATATATTTTGGTGGATTTATTAATTCAAGATTTGTGTTTAAAAACATGTTATTTAATATTCATACTTTATAATTTTTAAATATGAAAAAGGTGAAAAAAGTAGTATTAAATAATATCCTTGTTTAACATTTGATACTTATGAAGAATCAAGAAAAATTAAGCTGTCGTAGTTAAATTCTAGTCATAACTTTTTTAATTTGGATGTTTCAGTTCGCCGATATTTTAATGCTATGTAAGCATTCTGAATACGTTTCATGGAAGAATTTCTACTATACAAGATGAGCGAGATTGATGCAATGTATATTTTTCAATTAAAAGTTTAAAGTTTTTTTTTTATTTTTAAGTGAGTTTGACTGATTTATCTACTTTGTTAAATTATATGCTATAATTATAACTTGTATGAAACTACATGTCAAGTGTTGTATTCAACGACGATAATGCGATATATTCTATAAGTATATTTAACCTTATTTTTTCCTTAATTAAAATTTAGTGCATCTTTTTTTTCTTGGAAATTTACTGTTTACGTCATAGGCTTTAATTTAGTTATTTAAAAGTTGCAATTACAAACAAATTCATGTCGATTATTTTGTACCATACTATCTACATGATTATTGATAAAAAATGGTCACAATAATAAAACGATAAGTTAATCGGTAGATAAACCAAGTAATTAAAATAAGGTAAAAATATGCCTGGTTGTAAAAATTTAAATAAGAAATTATTTAGCAGAGGGATGTCTTAGCTTTGCTATAGTTGGCCAAATCAAATAAGAAAAACTAGTAAACATGTACAAGGCAATTTTTATATTAATTATATTAGTTTCTGCATATAGTAACGTCCTATCTCAGGATAGCGGAGGACTTATTGGTGGTAAAAACATTTTTTCTATTATTTATATGACTTTCACACTATTGATTGTAACTGAAATCATTTACGTGTATTATATAAATGTTCGAGTATTTCGAGATAAAAACGAGTATTGCGCGAAATGAAAAGATCGACTTATTATTTTTTTAGAAGGATGTATTTATTATTGAATTTTTTATTAAAATGCGGAATTGAACTGACCTTTTAGCGTCAGGACAAACATTATGCACAAAGGTTTGTGCAAGTGTATTGCACAAACCTTTTTGGAATGTCAATGACAATATTGATATTTGTGGAGTATTATTAATAATTACAGGTTCTGGCAACATATCAATTTCGCCTTTCAATCCTATTCGTTTTACAAGATTCATATCGTATATGATCTCGTTACCATTCCGTATAATAGGAATGATTTTTGGTTTGCCTTTTGGTTCATCAGGTACGATGAGAAACTCTGGTGGATCCGGAGTCAGTAATAATGGCAAGGGTGGCGGCATTTTTAATATATTTTTATCACTGCCCCGTGGAATAGCAAGATTCATTGAAGAAATTTTTCATTTTATACGACTTCTCCTTGACAGCATATTTGGCAATCTAGAAAGTGGTGCAGCTTACATAGCTGGCGATGGCGTCAAAAGTCAAACGTATCGTATGAACAGAAATCGCACTGCCAGCAGCTCATAGTAGACTTGTTGATCGTAACAGCAAATCGATAATTTTATAACCATCTATAATACTAAAATTAATATTGTTTTTAAATTTGGTTGGCAGAGAGAGAAAGTGAATAGAATAAAATAAGACAACAAAAAACACACTATTTTAAATAAATTATTCATAATAATATAAGACTGTATAACCATTACTATTAAGTATGGTTTACTATGGTATATAGTATAATAGTTTAGTAGATTTTATCATTCATATAGGTTCAATTAATTATTAATCTTTTAGATAATTCTTCTAATACATCTTAAAATGAGTAATAAAGCTCATCGATTTCTATGTGAAAAAATGAGTGCGAATTCTATTCTTAGTTATCAATGAATATTAATGAATGTATAGTGTATTTTAAATAGTATGATTTACTAATCCGTATATGCCATTAGAATTTCTACGTTGGCATGTAAAGGATTCAAATAATGTAATAAATAATAGAAAAACACAAATGAATGAGAGCGCAAAGCGCGCTAAATAACACTAATTTAAGAAAATAATCCATTCCTACAAATCGGTATACAGCTCTTATAAGTAGATGTATACTTGTAGTTTTTAATTGAGAGGATATTTATACAAGTATAGATCTATATTAAATACTGATCTTTTAGACACGTTATAGTTATCACGTCACACATTAAGGAAAAAACCAAATTAAAATGTTATGTAGATTCAATTTTTATTCAATATGGGAGTGTACAATTTTTAGTATTTTTTTTATTAACGTAAACTAAATTGTATGGAGTTATTAATGAGTTTTTCTATCCATGCTAAACATGCGTAGTTTTTGTATAATTTTTCTTAATTCATTTTTGGTTTCCCGCTGAGTTCTGCCGTCCCCAGCACTCATTCTATGATATATAAAATAATATGGTCCAGTGCATGGTAATGGCATGAAAACTATATACTATATATAATTATATACTAGAATAAGTCTCGCCAACCATGAGTACTCACTACTCACTCAGTACAAAAAAATGGCGTCGAAGAGTCAACGATGGGTTGTAGACTCCGGAATTTTACGAAAAAAAAGTGGAGAAGAGGAGCCTCAGGAACTGCTTGTCTTCGGATACAGCTGCAAATTGTTTCGAGATGACGAGAGAGCCAAATTGATTGATCAGGGCAAACATTTGATACCTTGGATGGGCGATAACACGCTGATGATAGACAGGTCCGTTTCCCTAACCTAACAAAACACAAAAACCAATAATCATCTAGTGTACTGTTAATATCAATTTTTATTTCGACCAACGAGGGCTCGCCAATAAACAAAAATTCAATACTATTATCCAATCAATCGTTTCTTCACTCAGCAACGTGCAGAGAGCCAATCCTCTGCAAGTCCTCGATCAATTCTGTTTGTATGATTAATGCAGGCATCGAAGCAATCTGGATCAACTGTTTAAGGCTTTGTGCAGGTGTACCGTGGCTAATCACGTGTGGCAGTGCTTTTAATATGCACTACACATCAGACAGACACTGAGCTCATTAGCGATGGCTTGCTGACAATCAGGGCATCCCCAAAAGCAGCAAGGTGAGACACAGCGTAGAGAGACAGGTGAATGACCGATGGTCATGATATAAACCATGGCCGATCGGGCTGGTATGTATTAGAGCTTTAGTTTCAATTGGTAAAGCCCTTATGATACTACCAGTTACATTGGCTGCTATATCTCCATTAATTTAATCTTCATTAATTATATTCTCATGTTGCTATTAAGACTTTTATGTTTTGCCACACACAGTTCCTCAATTTTTCAAATATTTCAACAACTTCATTGTTTATAAGAGTAAAGTGATGAAGATAACTACTTTTTACATCAGACAAGTTTAAACTCAACACAATTTTTATCTCTTCTTGACAAGTTCATCTCTATTGATTCATTAAACTTGAAGGCTGATGATTGCACCAATCATATAGTGATCTTCCATTTTTTGTTTTTCTTCAAACACTTGATAAAAATTAAACAAATATCAAACAATTCTATGGCAGACTGTACTGCTAAATATTTTTCTATTTTCAGATGCAGAGTGAAAGCAGAGACTTTTAAATTATATTTTTGTCATTACATGGTTTTAATTCAATTGTTTTATGTCTGTAGATACGATGGCCGAGGAGCCTTGGGAGATCTTCGGATATATGAGCCACCACCAGGTGGACATGACATTCGGACTATTCTTACTGAGGAGGAGTACAAAGTTGAGCAGGCATGTGATGAGGAACGGTATCGGTCTCTCTACAATAATGATGCTGAGGAATCAATGTACCATGGTAAATATATAGCATGTTTGTTATCCTACATTATGAGAATATCCAAGATCAATGAAAAATTTATCCATATTATTATTATTATAGAGGAAGAAATCAAAAGGCTTCATCAGGCACTGGATGCTGAAAATTCATATTCTCAAGTAGCATTTAACTATGACGATGAAAAAAAATTTGCTGAAGACTCACAGAGCCCAAAGCAATCAGAAGGCTCTTTTGAAGAAGATGAAGCATACATAGCTGAGCCTGATTTGGATGTTCCAGTTGATATGAAAGTGGTAAGTAATCGTAGCAAATAAGAAAATCCAATTGTAAAACATCTATTTACAAATATTAATTTTGTAGCCTGAAACACAAAAACACAATGCAATCATTACAAAAACGGCATTGTTTATCAGCCGTCAAGGGGGTCAGATGGAAGTGTTGATTAAAGCAAAGCAAGCAAACAATAAGCAATTTGAATTTCTGTCTATGGATGGAGAGCTGCATCCCTATTACAAGCACGTTTTAGAAGCTATTAAATCTGGGAAATATAATCCAGAAAAACAACCTGAAAAGGAAGAACCTGGTATGCATTTAATTATATTTCATAAACGTAATTTATCTCTCTCTTCACTTATTTATCGAGTGGAAGACCAAATTTGAGAATTGTTGTAACATGATATTGTCCTCATTGAAACGAAGTAACTGAATATACGCTGGAATTCATTATCAACATCTCCTTTGATTCTACTTATTTTGCAAGTACCGTAAGTACCACCATTATGTTAAGTCTTTAAAAATACCCATCTTTAATAACAGGTGTAAGTATCATAAGTTACTTGTAAGTTATCTAATTTGCTCGATTTTATTGACAGAGCCTGCTGAAGAGTCAGAGGAAGATGACGAACCATATTTACATCCAAGCCTTGCGTCATCTTTCAAAGTTGAATTGGTATATTTCATTATGAACTCTATTTCAATACTTTTCAATATAAATTCCAGCATACTATTGACTTTATTCGTAACTCTGTTTTTTAAGGCACCAAGTATCCCAACTATACCAAACATCAGTTACAAGCCATCATCAGATTGTGCCTACTCATTATTAGTCAATAAAATCACCGGGAAACCGCCAGCAATAAAGACTCAAATGCAGCCAGAAGAAATTATTCCTCCACCGCCACAACCACCAGCTACTTTCTTTCCACCGATGCCACCAGTAAGTTTATATGTTAAAAAAATTGTTTTCTTCGAAAATACGTATATCTTCAAAACAATAAACTACTTTACAGGGTTATTCATTTCCGACATTGCCGCAGCAGTATGCTCATGGACCAGTTTTATACGGAGCGAATGGCAGTGCGATGACAACTGTAACCACACAAGTTACTCCAAAAGTGTCGGTGCCAACTACTAACGTCGTTCAAACACCACAAAAGGAGCCTACGTCTTTAGTTCCGTACGGGCCTACGCCACCGAAACCTCTCAGCAGACCTTCTTTTATTGTTCCACCGGCAGATGTACAGATTATCATCGATAAGATGGCAAGTTACGTTGCAAAAAATGGACGCGACTTTGAAGCTATAGTTAAAAGTAAAGGAGATCCAAGATTTAATTTTTTGGAACTTTCGCACCAGTATCATGGATATTATGCACACAAACTGACCATTTATGAGGGAGGCGTGAATCCAAGAGTCCTAACAGAAGAAGAACTTTTACAAAAACAAGAATTGCAAGAGGAAAAACAAAAGAAATTGCAAGAATTGCAGAAGAAACAGCAGAGGATGGAAGAAGTGCAAAAAAGAGTGATGATGATTCAGGCTAAAAAGAAAGGAGAAAGTAATAGTGGAGATAATACTTCCAGTACAAAACAAAGTTCTAGCAAACAAATCAATCCGGTTTCATTCTCAATAAAAAAACCTAAAGAAGGTGAAAATAGCGTAATAGAAAAACGGAATGCATTGCCTTTAGAGGAGAGCGATGACGAGTCTGGTGAAGATAAAAATGAAAATAATACGAAAGTTCATTCACCACCACCGATCATTGAAGAAGTCATTACATATCCTGTTAAAAAAGATAAAAGTCCAACACCTCCGCGAAGACCTTTGTTAGAGAAGAAATCAAAACCCAAACCCCCGGTGGTTCAAGTGGACGTTACTGATTTCGTGGACCTCACTAGTGATATTTTCGAAGACTGTCAAAAAGAGATACGTGAAAAACAAGCAGAAGAAAGAATTCGAGAAAAAATGTTAGCTGCTACCAAAGAAAAATTAGCTGCTTCGAGGGAAAAACAGTTGCAGGCAGAAAGACGGAAAAAAGCTGCAATGTTTTTGAGTCAAATTCATGCACCAACGATTAAGAAACCAGAACCACCTGTCGTTATGATTGTAAAAGAAGAACCAATGAAACCTTCGTTTCCTTCGTCCACGCGAGTAGATATTGATATAGAGGAAATAAGAATGTGTACAAATTCTTTAATGAGCAGATTAAGGGAAGCAGATTTGGATCGACGATCTAGACAGCGATCAAGAAGCAGAAGTAGTAGCATCAGTTATTCGGAGAAACACAGGAGTCACAAGAAGCATAAAAAGAAGAAAAGTTCACACAAAAGGTATTTGTACAATTGATTTCTAAATATTTGCATTATTTAAGGATTTATTTAGTTAACATGCTCATTTATTAACAGTTTTAATCATTACAGTAGTTATCGAGAAAGTATGAGCAGTTCACGATCTCACAAATCGAGAAAGAATAAAAAAACGTCAAGACATCGATCACGTTCGCGAAGTCCTCACAAACATCGGTCTTCTTCATCGCGTCATCGAAGAGAAAGTACTTCCAGTGATTCAGATTCTACATCTTCTTAAGAATTTTTAAAGTTTTTTGAAAAATGTATTAATATGTAAATAAACATGCTGTGTATATAGTCATAAGTACATCTTAGGAATTTTCTCTACTGCGATATGTGTGAATGAAAGAATTTTGAATATTTGATTCGGATGTGTTTTGTATTTTGATTGACAAAAGTTTGTCGGATGAAATTCTTTTATACTGTGACATCAAAGTTTTCGAAATCATATTTTGTTAAAAATAAATTGTAACGCTCAATAAACAAAAATAGTATTCTTAGAGAAGAATTGTTATTGATCCTTACTAAGGTCATATTCTTGCCATTCGATATTTTATTAATTATTTAAATTGGTTTTCATCCTTTTTAAATAACTTTCATTACTCATTGATTTTTTTTCAATTAGCAATGGTAATTCAGTTTCCACTCTTAAATATAAACAATTATTTTATTTAAATTAATTTGATTAATTTTTAAAAGATTCTGCCAAGAATAATTTATATTATTAAAAAGTATTTATATTTATTTATATCACTGATTTTTATTTGTATTAAATCTGAATAATATTACAAGCTAGTAAAACGATGAATGAATACACAGGTGGAAAAAAAGCGTGAATGAGAAATTTATGTATAACATGAACAATTACAAGTCAAATAGCTAAGAGGAAAAGTTTGAAGAAATTGAATTAATGGAAAATTCTTACTATCTACAAGTAATGAAAAATTTCATGAATCGAACGAGCATTATATAAAAAATCAATTGAGGATATGCGTTTGCGATAATTGCTTAAAATAAGTGCACAAAAATATCAAGAATAATAATAATAAGCATGAATTGGATGATCGGGGAACATTTGAATCAATTATACAGCTGAAAAATTACTACGTCGAACACGAGGCTACACCTAAGTTAGTAATGAGCCCACTAGACTGCATTTATATCGTAATTTTCAAAAGAAAGCTAAAATAAGTTAAAAATAATACTTCTTATCAAATACTGGACATTCGGCACGTCAAACTAAATTAGCCGCGGAACAGTCTCGTTATTTAGCTGCACTTGAAAGGCATCAATGACATTAAAAATAGTTGTCACGTTATGGGCGATTCCACTAATCTCATATGATAACAAACAATGCAAACCCGAACCCAAACAGCTTCCCTGATGCCATTCAGCAGATTCAACTTATTGTTCCGCATTTACTACCCGACGGAGAAAGTTTTCACTATTGGACACGTGCCCGACTACATTGCTTGTAGTTAATTTTTGTTGTAATTTTTGTTGTAAATTTTCCATCAATCGCACGATGATATAGTATGCGTATTATTTCAATATGCTGTACGTATTGCTTTTTTACAAGTGGTTATTGACGTTTTGTTTTCTTGTAATTTGTAAACTTATGAAACGTATATAGATGACGCACAATTTATTTATTATATATATTAGATATAGTTCATATTATAAAAATACTTATTTCTTGAAACAAAAATTAAACACGCGTTTTAGCGATCTAACTGTACGTCACATTGAAAGCATCAACATTTATACTTGTGCGCGCTTAACTAAAGGAACTTGATGTAGCAAATGGTTTTTTTAATATTAAACGCAGCGTCATTGTCAGCATCTCATTTGTTCATGATTTCTGTAGAGATATTACGAAAATCTCATCGTCAACTTATTATGCATTGTTTATTCAAAAAACCTTTTTTTAGTATATATATGAAAACAATAATCAATATTTAAATAAAATAGTACTGTAACACTTAATTATGTTAATCATGTTAACACTTAATCGTTTTTCTAATTTAATGATTCTGACATAGCAATCTTTAATTGAATGAAATTAATAAAGTCAATAATACTAAAATGTTTATTTAAAATCCCGAAAATAATGCATTCTATTAAGCTAATTTTAATTGTGAAGCAATTAACTTGTGTTTGATTATCTCTTATCTGAGAGATAGGAGTAGCAATACTGGAATAACACTCAAAATTATCAATTGATTTTTTTTGTGTCAAAATTTGTACTATTTAATTTGTAATTACTTAGATTTGATCGAATGAAAATTTTTAACATTAAACGCTAATATTTTCTTATAAATAACATCAACTTTATATTGTTATTGTTTCGTATTTTATATTGATACTAAAATGTGAACAGCGCGCATCGCGCGCACAACTTACATTTTTGTTTTCCATAATCAAGCTAATAAAATTAAACACGATTAATAATTATTGATTGATTGTTTAATTGATGTTTGAGTAGAAATTTTACGTTTGTAAAATATTAACAGAATACATTTATTTAATTTAATAATCATGAACATATTTCTTTATAAAGATAATTGTTGACTCTTGTATTTTCTCTTCTACGATCATCCAGGATAAAATTATAAGGGGATACCAAAATCGAATTTAAGGCATAACTACATAAGGCTGTTCGTGATTAAAAACATTTCTCCGTAGATCTATCCCAATTTTGTCATAAGTTTGACCTTGCACTTTATTTATGATAATCACAAAGGCTAATTTAACTGGAAATTACCTCTGTTTAAAAGTGAAAGGAAATACGTCTATACAATATATAGTAAAACGAAAAAGATGCGTTAACTCTATTTTTTACAAGCGAACAATACCTCTAGTTTTCTTAAAATTTTCAGGATTTTTGTCAGACATTACTAATAATAATCAGAGTGGAAGAAATAGCATTTTTCTCGAAACTTATTAATGAAAAAACTAATTTTTTAAATAAAATATATGTTCATGCAAATGATATGAATTAAAAATATTAAAAGGATTTTATATATTTATATTTAAACTAAAACAGATATTAGCATAATTTTGATGAAACATTTTTCAATTAGATACGGTTAGATTCAAATAGAAACATGTGCATTGCATGAGCCAATCAGATAGCATTTATCTTGGCTTCACAATATTCCGGTCATGACTTTTTTATAATGGGAATGGGATACTTCTTGTGATATGCTTCAAATCTTCGAAGAAATATGGCTATTTTTCAAAAAAAAAAAAATTTCCATTAATTAGAAGAGGAAGCAGCAGTGATTGAAATAAGAAAAGCGTTGAGAAACCCTTTGATAAATAAAACGCTTTACGTAAGACTGTTGATTAGGTGAATGATATTTGCAACGTCATTATGCTGTCAATTGCGGAATAAAAAAGATGCACTGTTTGGGAATAAGAGTTTTTTAGAAAGTCTTATCTGCGTAATGACTCCCGTCACGTGGATTTTTGTATCAGACATCACCATATTCTCCCGGTAGGCCCCCAAGGACAATATTTGGAATTGAAACGATGAGATACTTAAGTTGTTCGGCCAAGTTCATTCGCGCAAGATTTGATGTGATCATAAATTATAAAAGTTGTATACACTTTATTGGATAGATAACTTATTTCCAAAGCATTTATTAAAAATTTACTGCTGTTATATAATCTGGCTATGTAAAAAAATAAAATTATAATTTTTGACTTTTATTAGAGACAATTTAATTTTTTACAAAAATATTAATTTAAAAAAGACAGTTTCATAAGACAATTTGTTCGTAAAATAATTTGATTTTGTTATCGATATAAACTTTTCCGTACATTTTCTGAAATTAATTATGGTGAAGCTAATACTACTGATAATATTTCAATGATTCATGTGCGACGGAGCTGTATTTTAAAGTTTTGATTTTTGGAAAATATCATAAATATAGTAAGGCACGTGCTTCTTTTGCCGGCACGGTTTTTTTCACGAGATGAAATGTAGTGGGAGATGAAATATAAGATGAGCCGATCGTGGTTCGAGGGTGATAGAACGCAATCGACTAAGCTCAAGAACAAAGTGTATGCTGAGACGCTGATTTCTTTTTGCTTACAAAGTGCTCGATTTCAGTGTTGCCTGCAAGCGTCATCATGTCCACTAAATTGGCAGTAAGTTGAATTTTATTAATTTTTCAGCGCTTTTTTTCCACAATTTCTTATTTGCTCTCTTTTAACAAAACAGTTAAGAAAAAATTACGTGAATTATTTTTTATCATTTAGATTAAACATTGGAAAAACTATTTATATTCAAATCATGGCATGAGTTAAAAATTTTGTTATATGAATGTAATCTTACTTTACTGTCTGATATGTTGAAAAATGATACATTTTAAAAAATAAAATACAAATAGCAAAATTTTATTTGTACCAATTAAATACAATAGTATACATTGAATGATAAATACACGTAAAATGTCGATATTTGATTGATAAACTGGCTTTCTTCTACTTTCTTTTTAATTCAAACTAAACAATGAGAATAATTTAATTTTATACGATTTACAATAATTCGCAAAAAAATTCTTATTGATTTTTATTATTTAAAAATGTTAGTCAGCTTTACAATCTCCGAAGATTTTTGATCCGTCTGAACAGTTTCGTCCAGAGACAATATACAACGGTAAGTTTGAGGGCGAATTTAGAGACTTTACAATGGATGATGATGATCCTATCAAAGAAAGAGTTCGGAAAACGTATTTGAACATGCACACTAACCAGACAGTCGAATTCGTAAAATGTAAGTTATTACTTTTCTGTTTTTCGGCAGTTTTTAAAAATAGCTTTTATTCTCTTCTAATAATATGTCACTTTTTATTTACAAAAGAATCAATTCTTATTTCTTTTTAAGATAGATCTTGTGAAATTATAGAGCAAAAAAGATTCCTTTTAAGATAGAATTTGTATTTGTTTTAGCACGAATGGCAGATTGGCTTCAATTCAACAAATGTAAAATGACTGTCAAGGAAGCTCTTTTACAATTAAACGAACTGATTGACGAAAGTGATCCTGATTCGGATCTACCCAACATAGTACATGCTTTTCAAACAGCAGAAAAAATTAGAGAGGATCATCCAAATGAAGATTGGTTTCATCTTACAGGACTAATTCATGATCTTGGCAAGGTATCTTATTCGAATCGAGAAATTTATTGTAGAAATATATTACCTTTCCGTTTTGAAAACTGTTAGTGAAAAGTTTTACCTTTTTGTAAAACAGCACTAAAAAGATTTGTCTCTTGTTATAAACAACATTTTTTTTATCACACAAAATTTTCAGTTGTGTATAATGTGTCTTTTTACGCTTTCATTTCTTAAAATAAACTAAAGATTATTTAAATATAAAATTTACGATTAGCCTAATAATAAGTTGAAAAAAGGTTTGTAACATAAAATCCTTCAATTACAGATCATGGCATTTTATGGAGAACCACAATGGGCAGTCGTTGGAGACACTTTTCCGGTCGGTTGTGCATGGGGTAATTCTATAGTCTACAGAGACACTAGTTTTGAAAATAATCCCGATGGAAAAGATTCTCGTTACAAGTAAGTTCTGTTTAAAATGAAAGTTAACCGAACACTTTTATTTAAAAAGTGTACGCTAGATATAAAAATTCCACTTTTGACGTCAACACAAGTAACTCTTTTAAAGAATTTTCTCTTGATATCATGTAACATAAATGACGTGGATAGATTTCTTTTATTTAATACTTTCAGAATGCAGAATATTAGAACATAAGAATAAAGAAATAAAATTATTTATTACATTATGTGCAACGACCTTACAAAAACAGCATTCAAATAAATACGATTCAATGAATAGAAAAATCATTCATTTTAGATTAAAATTACTTTTTATTTAAACTTTTGGATAGAATAGTTTTTTAATACTTTAATTTTTTTATTAATAACAAATTAACTATATTTCTATTGGTACTTTTAACTAAGTTTACATGGAAAAACACAAAAAATTAACTTCTAATGTACTATTAGCACAAAATATGGAATATACAAGCCCAAATGTGGAATCAATAATTTAATTATGTCATGGGGACATGATGAGTATTTATACCAGGTATTGAAACATAACAAAAGTACATTACCAAAAAAAGGACTAGCTATGATTCGCTATCACTCATTTTACCCATGGCATGCTGGTGGTGATTACAAACATTTTTGTACCAAAGAAGATGATGAAATGTTACATTGGGTTTTGGAATTTAAGTAAGTGCCTATTTTTTGAATATTGAATATTGACCTTGAACTAATTTAACCGTTTCCTTGTTTAGCAAATATGATTTGTATACTAAAAGTGCAGAAGTCCCTGATATTGATGCTCTTTGGCCTTATTATAAAAAACTCATTGATAAATACATGCCTGGAGTTCTGGAATGGTGACTACAGATGAGTTAATAATCTTTCAATTCTAAAAATAAAAATGATACTGTATTATTCACTGGAATCTTGAAAATTTATGTATTTTATAAGCATTTATTATTAGTAAAGATTATTCGTAATATAAGTCACCAATTTTATACAAAAATTTTATATGAAATATAAATAGAATAAGGTTTTATAAAACAATTAAAAGCTTACTATGAATTTTATTTGTTATTCCTTGTCTTTCTTTTTGATTTTTCTTGTACTCTGAATGGCTGGGAAATAACTGCATCATCAGAAACATCCATAGGTTCATCTTTATTTTCCTCATTTTGTGTTTCATTTAAATTCTGGGTATTGTTGAATTCTATTATAGTAAAATAAAATACAGTATAATACAATAATGGTTCAAATAAGCTATAATAGGTACTGTTTGTTTGAACAATTTGCATATTACATTTTTATTTTAATGAAAAAAACTTGCCTATTATTTCACTGCAATCCATATTTTCAAAGCAATTTGGGCACTTATCTTCTTGTTGAGCTGCTATTTTTCTTGATATGCAATAAAAATGATACGTTTTATTGCAGTGTTCACATTTAAATCCCTGTAACATATATATTAATTAAATTAGATGTAGTTTTCATAATTAGTTCAAAAAGTCATAATTCTTACATAAAACAAAACATCTTTACACAAATGGCAGTTATGGAAATTTTCATAAGTGGCTCTAAAATAAGGCATGAGTTCAATAATGCTTCTTATTCCCATGTAATAGAAGCCATTCTATAAAAATAAACGACTATTTAGTCTTTCTGAAAAATAAAATTTGAAACCATAGAAATGATAAATCACCTGGCAATGTAACCATTTGTTTCTCGTAACATTTTTAAGAAATGATTCTGCATCAGTAGCTGTAAATTTTGTATCAAGATTGTGTATAAGTCTTAAACAATCAATACTTGAAATACACCCATCATCTGCATTTATTATTTGAGAATAAACCTCTTTTAAAAATGCTTGTTGAGCTTTAGAAAATTCACATGGGATCCTTTAAAAAGGATCATTATTTTATTAAAATTATGTCCTTATTGGTTAAAATAATATAATAAACTAATTGAAAGTATTAGTTACTTGATTGAATCTTCATGCAATGTTCCAACAACACACCAATATGTCTGACCAGTTATTTCACACATTCCAGTCTTCATAGACATGGCTATTGTAGATAACTTGTCATTTATTACTGAAATAGTTGAAGACATGTCTAGATTTTCCCCTGTAAAAATGTAAAAGTATTATTTTCACATTGATACTAAAATTTAAAAAAAATTACATTTGTGGATAATTATTTAATAATTGTCTTTATTTAATGGTTATAAGGGATTTTCTACATAAGAGCCATCAGATATTGGACGTGAATGAAGGTGTAAAAATGAATTAATTATTTAACATTAATTCATAAAATAAAAATAAGTGTTGCATATGGTTTTTTCAGACCGCATATAAATCTTTGTTAAGATAATGACAAACAATCGATTTGGTTTTTTACCACAGTATTCGTCCAACATCCAATGTTTGATGTCCGATAGCTCTTAAGTAGAAAATATCTAATGATTGAGTTCTAAACATAATTTGTAAAGATGTTACTTTTCTTTTTCAATAAGCACTTACTAAAAATTCGTATAAACATCGTCTTTGCAGTTTGATCTAGTACAGCTCCACCTTGCATGATAGCTTGTAAAAAAACACGATGACGATTGTCGTAAACCATTTTCCGTCAATTTTATGTCAAAATAAGTATTAAAATATAAAAAATAAACTTAAAAATAACAACTGATCGATCAACAATTCGGAATCGAGATAGGGATTGTTTCTTGTCAAAAATAGTCTCTATAGTCCATGCTCGAAATCAAAACATGAATTTTCATTGATACCAACTCAATCATACATTTCTGTTCCGAGACTTGAAAGTACACCGGTTTCCGATCGAAAAATCTCTCCCAGGGTCCCTAAGGCTCCGGTCCCATAGGTATGTTACGGATGCGAACGGATACGGACGCGAATCGCAACTCTAGTAACATTACTAAAAATATCTAGTTCGATTATTTAGTACCAACACTATCGGTAGTGAGCAAAAGTGACTGTTTAAAACTGTAGCGCCGAACGTATGTACACCCAACGTGGATTGAATTGCGACCCCCCCCAGTTAGGTTGGTATGAGAATTCCGTCGTTGCATCGGAACGAAGAAACCGCGGGAAAATTCAAAAATGAAAATTCGTTTTAAGATACGATAAAAAGCTAAAACGTTACTAATTTGTTTTTAGGTTTAAAATTAATTGTTTGCCGAACAATGAATTTAGATGCATGATTATTTGATTTTAGGTTTTAATTATATAATTTAAGAACGAGCGTTATACTATGACCGATCTGAAAACCACCGTTACGGACTGAAAGTAGCACTCATAGTCTCATACCAACCTAACTGGGGGGGTCGCGATTCAATCCACGTTGGGTGTACATACAGTCCCCGGATGTTGATTCTGTCCACCCATTTCAAAATTTCAAGTGTCAGTTTGCAGATCTGGATTTTAATGAATAAATGAATAATATAATAATATAACTAGTTAAAAAGTAAATATATGTGTATATTAGAGATGTTAAATATCAAAGGAAAAAAATGAAGGTTCAATTGAAATTAAATCATCCAACTCACCACTGGTTTGTTTTCAGATAAGTAGTATTTATTTTATCCTATTTAATATTGTATAAAGAATATGATACTTTATACAATAATACTAAAATACTATGATACTAAAATGATTGCTATATATGAAATTATTAATATTAATAATTTTAATAATTTTATCTACAGCAACCGTTTTATTAAGTTTTATCATTTTTTATTTTCTTTATTTCAAAATGCGCGCCCCCTTAAAGTCTCTATAAATCAGCGTACAAATGGCTGCGCAGTGCACAGGGGGCCTATTCTGAAAAAAAATTTTGTGGTAAATCAGTTTGTCACTTCAGTTTACCACAGAATTAATCACTTTAGATGTGATAAATGCTTATGACATGTGCTAAAATTTTTTTTCAGAATAGGCCCCGTGCTAAAATTTTTTTTCAGAATAGGCCCCCTGTGGTCTTGTTATGTTTAATAGTATACGTCAGAATTCAGGTCTTTTTGAATATGTCGGAAACCATAGTGATGGTCATACGTACTTGGACATTACGCAATATATTGTATCCAGATCTGTCCGTCACAAGGACAATCCCAATATTGTCAATAGAGTAACTAATCAATGTTAATTAGTTTTTTGACAGACAGGATCAGCGCACAATGTACTGTGGAACATCCAAGTACACATGACTCATGACCATCAAATAAGGCTCTCTGCAGTCCTCTGTTTTGTTTTGTTCTAATTCTTTATTTGTACCGGTTAAAAAAATCTAACAACAGTTACGAATATAAATAATATAAATTATTAAGTTAACTATATATTTATTTTTTAAACAATGTAAATATTGTAATTATATCAACATGTCTGAAGCAAAAATATCATATGGTATACCTGGTAATGGTCAATATTAATAATCTCATACATAGTAATCATTTTTTTTGTGTTTTATTATTTTTTATTTTTTTCAGAACGCGCGCCCCATTTCTATATAATTAAAGTAAAGTTTTACACTGTTTAAAAAATACTTTTCATTAATTATATAATTGAACTTAACAATAATTTTAAATATATATTCAGTTATGTTTACAAGTCACTCATCACAGCACTATTGCCAAGTTGTTTTTAATCATTATAAGTACAGAATGAAACAAAACGAAAAAACAAGTAGAGGGCTTTTACAAAACATCGCGCGATGTTCTGACCCTCGGATCTTACCTGGAGAGAATTTAACATAGTGCAATAATTTGTAGAAACCCTGAGAGCAATTTTCCTGGAGTTAATCCAGTTAATTAATAAATCCATATTTCCATTCCATTAATACTTTTAACATTTAAGCTGCATCATTGTTATAATTCATTTGGAAAATAAAATTTCTACTGGTTTAATTAAAAGTGTAGAACAATTTTTAGCCAATTTTAACTTTGGCATAGTGTATAGTATCTTTTGCATTATTTAGTTCAAATCAAAATAAATAAAAAATGTATTTTTTTAATTTTTTAAATAAATTTCACTTGAATAATTATTCAAATACATTTGTTAAAAAAAATTTTACACAATTGAAGAAACTTTTTATAGTAAAACATGATTTTTCTTATTGAGTTGATGATTTGGCTTCCTTTGCATTCTGAAGACTTTGAGTGATGTACAATTTAGCTAAACTTTGAGCACAGAACTGGGAAATATGTTGACTATATGTATTTATTTGGCCAGCAGTGATCATAGGATTGAGCCTTAATGGAACTGGAATAGGTCTGATTAGTTTGTTAATATCCTCCTCTGGTAATGGAGGTTCATCTTTAGCAGCACGAGCTGCATTTTCTTGAGCTCTCTTTTGCATTAATCTGTTCTTATCTTGTTGTTGACGAATAACCATACTTTGGTAGCGATTGAATTTAATAGCTTCTTGGTTTAATTCATCAACTCTATCCATCATGCAGCGCAGTTGATTTTCTAAAACTGATGCAGTTCCTAAATCCAAATATTTTGTACCTTCCTCTTCTGGAACCATTTCTTCCAGTTCACTCATGACAATATTAGTCAGAGCACTATTTCTAATTACTATTGGTAACTCAACAAACAGATTTTCGTATCCAATTTTCAGATTCTTAAGAGCTTCTGGTGTAAATTCACCATCTTTATACATCTGAATAGCTTGAGGAGTTAATCGATAAGCTTTGAGTGTTAAGAAACCTCTTGCTGATTTTGCAGTGTCATAAATAATAACAACTGACTCCTCTATTGATGTTTGGTAATGGTATTGAGACTCGAGCAGTGGCAAACTTAAGAAATTACCAACATCTGCACTTTGATACCATCCAACATGAAAGTGATCAACATTAACACTGAAAAAAATACGAATTAAAATGTACAGTCGATATGTATAATTTTTATAATAACAATGACTACAAATTGCATAAAGTAAAGTAGTAAATGGGACATTCTGAAAATAGATAATTATCTAAGTAAAATATTGATATAAAAATAGGCATATGCGAGAGTGTTAAAACTTACATGCGCAATCGTCTCATCATATTCAATTGATAATCTTCTTCGTCTGCAAAGTCGTCATTCTTTGAGAATGGAAAGCAATTTGTGATTTCAAGACGTCCCTGAGTATTCAAACCAAGAAGGGCACCCTGGGCCACTTCCATATTACTGGATGCCTCTTCATGACAGTGTTTAACCATTTTCATAACCACCAAGCCATCGCATTGAACGTAATCAATACGCGGCTCCATCTCCTGTACACGTCGTGATGGATTTCGACTTGACATTTTTCGTTTTTTGAGTCAAGTGAAAAACTTTTAATGAAATTATTGTGCTGTTAATAATTTTCTTATTATATATCTCCAATACTACAAGAGCGAAAAATTCATGAACAAGCTTAACCTGGCTTAACCACGTTTCACGTTATGTCTCCACTCTCCAGGGACTCTAGCGGGTCCATCGGCCATCCAGGTCGTAAAAAAATGGCTATAGAACTGAACAGTAAAACATGGAAGGGTGACCTAAGGACGATTTCATAGATGTCAATTGGTCAATAACGATGTTACTGACAAAATTAATGCTCTATAACAACTCCAATTTTGCATTTCTAAAAAGTTGTGTGAAAATTCATCGCTTATATCTCTATTGAGTTTTCAATTTTCTGATATATGAGTATCTTTACCTTGAATTATTATCAAAAATGAAAAATAATTAAATATACTTACTTGATAAAAAATAGCTACTTTTGTGACAGTCGCGGACTGCAAGTTTCACTGTGAACAGTGATCATGCGTGAACAATGCACGCAAGAGTTCAAACCACCTTGTCTATGCAGTTCTGCAATCTGCAGTACACAGTACACTCTGCAGTTGCAGATGAAAAGGTTTGCAGTCCATGTATATATAGCCGATCTACTTTTGTTACAAAAACATTCTAGATGTTAACTGATATGATATATTACAAAAATGAGTAAAAAAGGTGGTTATTACTGTGCTTTTAAAAATTGCCGAGGTTTATCTCGACGTGACAAGAGAAGTTTCTTTCGTTTTCCTAAAGATCCATTAAGGTAGTTCATGGAAATAAAGAACTTGATTTTCAATAATAAGTAATTATTGTAATGATGACGGGTACTAGTGAATTTTATTTGTGTTACAGATCGAAAGAGTGGGTCAAAGCATGTGACAGAAATGACCTTTTAGAAAAAACACCACTGGAACTTTTTAATAGTTATAGAGTCTGTGCTAAGCATTTTACAGATTCAATGTTTCTTAATGATTTAAGAAATAGATTGCAACCTAATTCCATACCAATGCATTTAGAGCTGACAGAGGATTCAGATGATACTATAAATGCAAATAAGACAAACGATACATTAACTGACAACCATGATCCTGTGACCAATATTTTAAGTAATTGTGTATTACGTAAGTAATGGATAAACAAGACCACACTAACAACTTTAATAGTGCTAGTGTTTTAAACTATATTAATATAACTATTTAACAATAAGTTATATTTTGTAAAGCATATGTTTGACTAACCAATATTTAAAATCTAGAAAACCAACTGTAATTTGTAATTGTCTGAATGATAAATAATTTCTTTATTTAAAGATTTATTCTAATGTTTTTCAGAGAAAATATCTGCAGATGAATTTTACAAAGCAACTGGTATACGCATTAATGAACCTGTATCTGCAATAAAAGCAACTGAAGAGTATTTGGAAAATTCAAGTCCATTAGATCATGTTTACTCCAGTATAAAAGTCAATGATTCAATGAACTCCACTGCAAATGAACTAGCTATTAATATTGATAATGAAAGTTCTAATGGGTTCCCTATTGAAGCCTTATCTTATCAGGATCTAATAAATTCATTACCATTATCTCTTATTAATGGAACTGGTCCTGAATCTCCTATGGAAACAAGTGAATTATCTTTTCTTATTTCAGATAAAAATGTAGAGGTAGAAAAGTTGCCAGAAGCTATTTTAGACGGTCAAAATATTAACGAAGCATTGACTAATGTCTCAAATACTTATGATACTTTAGGAGAAATCAACGAAACAGATTTAAATATTGTAAAAGGTAAATCAGAAGAAGCTACTCAAACCGAAGTTGATTTTTTAGAAAATAATTTAGACAAAACTAGTATAATTGAGTTTGAAAAAATTATTCAAATTCAATCTAACTTTGTGGGAAAATCAATAGAAAATTCGACTCAAACTACATCAAGCTATATAAAAGCTAGATTGAATAATAAAAAGTTGAAAAAATTATTGATAAGCAAAAAACATGAAATCAAACAATTAAAACAGAAACTTCAAAAAAATTATATAAATATTATAGATGATATTACTCTAGAACAATTTCAATTATTAACACAAAAGTTTTTTCCTGCTGAGACTTCTGATTTTATTAAAATTCAAGCTCAACTATTTAAAGAAAAAGACAACAAACGAAACTTTACACTCGATTTTAAAAAACAATGCCTGTCATTGTTTTTAGCTGGTCCAAAAATATATAAGTATTTGCAAAAAATATTTTGCTTACCTAAAGCACATGACTTACGGACACTTAAATTTTAAATTCAGTATTTTCGCACAAAGATAGAATTAAGTGTCATTTAGAGTTTATTAGTGAATGATAGCGATTTAGTAATTCTAGTCACATCAGCTTTAATAGTAGTTCATACTAAAAATAATTATAGGTCTTAAACTATGGTTCTGCTGTGATTCATTTAGTTCTTAAAAATCGCATTTAGAAATTTTTTAATATTTATATACATTTTTATAAGTAGATAGGCAAACATTTTCGCTTTATATTTCTAAATTTTTACATTTATATATAAATACATGCTATTTACGTGATTACTTGAGTTTAAATTGCACAAAACTCAAGTGCATTTACATATCGATAATTAATGCTAAGTAGGTAAAATATCAAATTGAGAAAAATTACCAGTATTTTAATGACACAGAATTAAAAATCTGTGAATATTTATAGTATTGTAATGATATATATTTAAACGAATAATAAAACTAAACATTTTATACTTTATGAGTTTTTTAAATATTATTTTCCTTATTTATTCCCTTTGAGTTTTCTTTATCTGACTTATATATAGATAGAATTTTAAAATAACCAACGTAGACTTTTTAAAAAAATATTATCTCTTCTTAAATTAGAAAATATTTAAAATGAGCGCACTTTATATTTTTGTATAGTCGATATATATAGCGATAGTATAATATCCTAGCCTACATATATATATATATATGTATATATATACTTTCGTTGACATGTTTACCTATACGTTTTCGTCTGCAATACGGCGTAGCGTAGAAAGTATTCAGCAGTTATAGTATTATTAACAAATCTTAGATAAATCAGATGAAAAACTTATTAAATAATAGTTTGTAAAATGAATTCTGATAGTAAAATAAGTGTTCATTATTCTTCTTTAGTTGGTTTAAAAGCAGAGCTTCTTAAGAAGCAGGAAGAAGCAAAAGTGGCAAAGGCTAAGTTAGAAAATATAACGGCAAAAAATAAAACAAAAATAAATGAAAAAGTTGTAAACAAAAAAGAGAAAAACGTAACGAATGTAGATATTTCACAAGAAACTGATGATATTGAAAGTATGAAAACTTTAAAGAAATCTCAATTGATGTTACAAGCAAAATCTAGGTTATACGATAAATTATCAAAAACACGAACAAATATGAATCCTAATTTTCTTGTTGATTTTGAACATAAATCTGATGATCCATATAAGTCAGAAGAGGAGGACTTTAACAAAAGTGACAACTTAAGTGATGATGATTCTGATAGTGAATGGGCTGAATACACAGATTGCTTAGGACGAACAAGGAAATGTCTTCGAGAAGATTTACCTAAAATGAAACAAAAAGATGAATCCTTGAGAAGAGACATTTTTAAAGAACCACATGAAAATGTCCAAGAGCAGATATTTTATGTTGAAGATAGAACTCCAGAAAAAGAACCAGAAATAGAAATAATGAGGAGAAAATGGGAAGAACAAACTGCCAAATTAGTCAACAAAGTTGATATTCACTACCAAGATATACTTTTTGATGAAGCAAGAACACATGGTGTTGGTTACTATGCTTTTTCACAGGATGAAAAAGAAAGGAAAAAGCAACAAGAAGAATTAACTAAGTTGAGAAAAGAAACTGAACAAAAGCAAAAAGAAAATGAAAGTATACGAGAAGTGAAAGAAAAAATGCAACAAAATAGATTGAGAGTGGCAAGAATAAGGCAACGAATAAGAGCAGGGCTCTCTGCTAAAGAAGCTGAAGATGAAATTAATCAAGAAGATGCCACAAATCATTTGCAATCTGTAGATAATGAAAGTACGAAGATAATAAATGAAAGTGGTACACCAAACACAAATATTCAAGAAACCATATTAGATAATTCTATGAAGGATAATACACAAGAAATAGCTAAAAATGAGCTTACTGATAATGAAAGCAAAATACAAGCATTTGGAGAATTGCTAGGCAAAAGAAATAAGTGGTATGTAATGACTCAAGAAGAATGGATTAGCAAAAAGAGAAAAGAAAGAATAGAAGAATTTGCTCCAGATTATGGAAACTTCCAGCCTGGAGAAACTTTGAATTTAAATAATACATTTCAAAATAATGTTACACATGAAGTATTAGCAAGTCATGAAAATAAACAAGCCACTAGTTTCATACCTGTTGAAGAAAATGAATTATTCTCAGATGAATCTGACGTGATAGGACCAATACCTCCATGTGATTTAGAAACAAATTCTATAAAAGGTTTGTAATCTTATGTGCATATTAAGATTTTATTTTTATATTAAATAACATACTAAATAATACACTAGCGTTAAATTTAATAATATTAATTTTAGCACAACATTAGTGAATTATTATCAATTTTATATTTTTATATTAATATCTTAGCCTTTTTAAATATTTGAAAGTTTAATAATTAAGAAATACTCTAGATACTCTTTTGATTAGAATTTTTGATTCTTATTTTTCAGATCCAGGAATAAATGAGCGAGTTGACATTGTGAATCAAGTGGAAGCTGGATTGAAGTTTTTAAGACAGCAATTTGAAAATAAATCTTCACAATAGATATGCACAATACATTTAATAAAATAATTTTTTATCAGAGTGTAAATAATTTTTTATAAAAGTAATTCTTATATTGTATATTACAATAATACTGTAGTTGAATACTTTATATTTAATTATAAGACTGTTAGTAACTAATTTATATTGTTAAAAAAAATGATTGAAATGATAAAATGAAGAAATGATTTAAAAAATAATCAATTATTTTATTCATTCCAAAATAAATTTTCAACAAACTTATTGCAAGTATTTCCATATAGAAAAAATAACTTAATTAACGGATTTAAAAAATGTTTTGAAAATAACGAGTCAATTATACACAATCAATCAATTAAAATTATATTTGTGCATTTGCTAGCACTTTTAAATTTGTAATTGCTTAATCTAACCTTCATACTCATACATATACATCTAAACATGGTACAACGTGTTACTGATAATGCATACTATATTACATATATATATATATATACACTTTCGCTACTCATCTTGCACTTGTAAAATGTGAAACTGAACAGCAAAATACAACCGGTCAATGGCTGCTCGGTTTCAGCATTTGGTGCACGTTGAACGTTAAGCACACAACTAAAATCGTTACAATTGAGAAAATTGGTGAGTAATAACTATTTATTAAAATAAAATTTTTAAGATATTGACATTTAGTTAAATGTATATCCTATATTACGAAGTTCAGCTACAGTTATGCGATTCTATTCAAACCAATTTTAGTTTATTATATTCTTTTCCCGCGCAAACTTTATAGCGAGTATTATTTCGTTGCTATCGTAAGTTTTATTTATTATTTTTAAGCGAACAATTTAAGTTCTAATGAAAATTATGTTTCTTGATAACATAAGAAACTTATTTTGTCATTTTTGTTAATCCCGTACTTTATTGAACCTGCGATAAAATTTTGAAAACATCTTTCATTTAGTTTTTAAACTCATTATGTATAATGTCTTAAAAAAATATTTTTCAACTGTCGAAAATAATTTAGCGAATCATATTAACATATATCCTTAAAAGTTGCAATAAACATTGAAATATGAATATTTATTATGATAAAAAAAGGGGTTAACATAATATTTTTTATTCGGAATACATGAATCTTATATGTTAGAATTATTTTGTTTTAAAAATTTGTATTACATATATTACATATATGAATTAAATAAATTAATAGATCATTGATTTTAGCTTTATTAATTGTATTCTAATAAACTGGTAAAAATGGTTGAGTCAAATCACAATGAAGAGGAGCCAATGGTTACCCAGAAATCGTCAGGTAAAATTGCCAGTGACGAACTTTCTAATAAGCGAAATAGAGAAGAAACATCTGACTCTGAAAATAACTTACCATTGAAAAAAGCTGGCATTAACAAAGTATCACAGGAAAAAGAAATAAGTCCAATAAAAATAAAAAAAGTTATCTCCAGTTCTGATTCAAATAATAGTGTAGAAGAATTAGACAATGATCAGAATAAAAATATAAACAATCAATCAAAATCTAATAATATACTAGATGAGAAAGTTAATGAATGTACAGAAACAGATTATAAAGATACAACAAAATCAACTACTACTAAAGAAAGTGAGACTGAAAGATATCGAAACTACGATATTCAAGAAAATGAACAAAATAGTATGAAAGTATCAGAAGAAGAAACTAATAAACATAATTTATCTTTGGAAAAAGAAAAAGAGAAAATGGTAATACGATCTATTTAATCATTAGTTTTATTAAATTTATTCAATTTACTAACTGACTATTTCAATTTTCTTATTTTGTGAAACTGTACATATATAGTTCTTTAACTTTGATAAATTATTTATTGTTTTAATTATATTTGAATAATAAATATTTCTATAGACCTTCAATGTTACAATCTTTTATGTTATCATTATTTCATTATCAAATACATTGATATTTTAAGAAATTTTAATTAATTGTTTTTTTTTTTGAAGGATCAATCAATGGAAGATGATGAGTCTGAAAAAGAAATGAAAAAGACAAAAAGTAAGAAAAAAAATGAAGAGTCTGAAATAATTAACGGAGTAGAACTTACTGTAGAATGTGCAAGTGATGAAAATTCTAGTGAAGAAAGTGTGAAAGAGGAAAGTTTCAAGCCCAGACCTAAGACTGAAATCATAAGAGAAGAGCCAAATGACTCTGAAGTTGATGCTAGCTCTTCTGAAGCAGAGAAGTCAGATTCTTATAAAATAATAGAAGCTAAATCAAAAAGCAATAGTGAAACAACTTTTATGCAACAGGTTCAAAAAAGAGATAAAAAAAAGTCTTTACTCATTAAAACAGCAGCTTCTGTGTTGGAATCTAACACAGATGATGAAGATTACAGCCCTGTTTTGAAAAAAAAGTTAAAAAAGTGTCCAAGCTCTAAAAAGACAACAGAAGCAAAAAGAGGGCGTGGTCGTCCACGTGGTAGACCTCCTAAAAATTCTATAAATTTAACAAAACATATATCAGAAGTTAAACCTGAGAAAAAGAGAGAGACTAGTAGCGACAAGACTAAGAAACAAAACGATAGCAAATCTACAGAGGCAAAGGATTCAGATAAAGCTGATTCAAAAACTGAAGATTCTGTAGATGAAGAATCTGACAAAAAAAATAATGATGAAAGTGATGAGAGTGAAGATGTTAAAAAGGGAAAAAGAAGGAAGCCTAGTGTTAGTTTTCCATTTTAATTCTTTCATAAAATAGACATTCGTGTTTTGTCAAAATTATTAATATTTTATTTTCATTTTTCAGAAGCGTAATATTCAAAAAATAGAAAAGCTAAAAAAGTATATTCGAGCAGCAGGAATCAAAGTTCAATGTTATACAATGTTATTAAAAGGTTGTGACACTGATGCTGCTAAAGCAAAACGTCTTACTGTATTTTTACATGAGCATGGTGTTGTTGGAAGACCAACTTTAGAAAAATGCAATAAAATCAGAATAAAGAATGAAACTTTGAAAGAAATTCAAGAATTGAATACCAATATTATCTCTGAAAGTAAGTTTCTTTTAAATATATTATAATTATAGTATATTTTTCAATTACATAAATAATGAAATCATATCCCAAATAGCTCGTTCCACTCGAGGTAAAATTGCAAGAAAGTCTCGAATTGAAAAAAAAGTAATCTCAAAAACACCTTCTACTCCTAACAAAAAGGCTTCTGAAACTTATAAAGTTATTGTTGACAGTGATTCTGAGTAATGGAATGTAGTTACCTAAAAAATGTACATTATTCAAAGTTAACTTATACAGAAAATGTTTTTACAATTACAATTTTCATATTTATTTAATTTAGTTAATAGTTCCAAAATAGATATTGATAGCTGTATTTATGTATTATTTATATTTTGACAATCTTTTGATTTATTAAAAAGTCTAAATTAATAATAAATACTTTTGAAAAATCTGAAATATGAAAGAAATTTTCTACTGAGTATTTTATTATAAAATAATTAAAAATTGATTAACAGACATTGTGTTATGAAACATCATAAATCATAATGAAAAATCGAATATTCTTGATACTGTCTGCAAGGTAAATTAAAGTTATATTGTAAACCATTGTACATATTAATATTAAATTTTGTTAAATGACTATTGTATTTAATAAAAAAAAATTTTTTATGATTTGACTCTTTATTATAAAATTATCAAGTATAAATGTTTAAAAATATACATTATCAATCATTCATTTTATCTTCCAAAGGCTTTTCGATGCAAAAATTCTGCAATGCACTCTTTGCTACAAAGGAGTTTATTTTCTTTGACAGATATTTTACCTCCAAGAAGACTTTTCTTACATGTAGTGCAACAGAAGCAATTTTCTGTTACATGAAAGTGTAGGTCTTTTACAGTAACTCCTTGTTGATCAGCAGCAATGACATTATTACAGGCATTACAAGTCTGAGCATAATTATTTTGATAACAAGAAAGACAAACTGGTCTATCATTTTCCGTAAGATACTGCCGTTCAGCTAAGGGAATGTCGCAGTCCCAACAACAAAAATGTTTCACATGATAATTGTGCCCCTCAGCAACCGTATATTCACGTACAAAAATAAGCTGTTAAATATAAAAGAATAATTATTATTTAAAAGCTTTAAAGAATATATCAATTAATAATAAAAAGAATCTACCTCGTCACAGGCAAAGCATCGTGGAATATCCAAATATTCTGCAAAATCTCTTGCACAATATAATTTATCCTTATGGCTAAAGTAAACTAAATCTACAAGCAGTTCGTTGCATGCAGAACATACAAAACACCCTGGATGCCAGGCTGCCTCTTTAATCTTTTCAGCAGTAACAACTACATCACCACAGTGTATATTTTCTTGGCAATTATGGCACTGGTATATTTTATTTGCATTCATTGTCAAACCCTCCATCTCATTTTGTAACTGACTTATATTGTCTAAATTTTGATGTACAATTAAAGCATTAACGCTATTTTCTGGGAATATTGGATTATTTAATAATTCTGAGTGAATAACATTTGATTGTATAGGCAAAGAGGTATTTAATTCTGCATTTAAATGTTTTGTTGGACTTGTTGGTGGATTGGAAGGCACTTGATATTCATGATTAGGATATTTTGTTTTGTTTCCAAAACTTTTAGAAATTTCAGGATTATTAGCTATTTCCAAAGAATTAAAAATTAATGGATAATGTCTGAAAAGTGATTGTTATGATTAGAAAACATTTTTTCATAAATTCATGAAATATAATAACACACCTTATAGATTCAATATTACTAGAGACAAAACCTGCTGCACAATCATCTTTATTGCTGCTTTGATTGCCAACTTCATTATGGGAATCCAAAAATCTTGTTTCATTAGAATTTCCACCTTTAATTTTATTTGCTCTCATACTACTTGGCAATAAAAGATCTTTAGATGATACTGTTTGCTGTAATATTCCAGCACTAATAGATTTACCTTTTAAAAGTTCTAAATTTTGTATGATATCAGTTCTCATATTAGGATTTTTATTATTTAAATGTACTGACTGATAAGGTTGGCTAGTCTGTGGATACTCTTCACTTGCAATAATACTAGAATGTTGTACATGTTCAATCCCATGACATATCGGATTGCTTTCCCAATTCTTATTACTTTTTTTAATAGAACTATTGAATTGTAATTCATTGTTATTTTGTGGTGCAGAACAAGTTTCATTTGGCTGGTTACTATTTTTCAGGGCACTTTCATATTCAGGTTGTTTAAAATAGGGTTCACTTTGAGCTTGCAAACTTTGTACTTGTATTACATCCTTTGTACAAGGTGTTGAACTAATTATCGGACCAACATTACCATGAAAATTAGGTAAATTAGATATTAAAGGCACTTGAAGATTTTTAGGAATGAAACTACTTGGAGTACGTAAATTCAACTTTGCATTTGGGTTCATTAAACTTTGACTATGCTGTGGACTGAACTGTTGAACATCAGTTGCATTTACTGGAGTCATGAAGGATTTATCAAATGGTTTTATAGTGGTTAACTGAAAAATAAAATTGTGTTAGATTGAATATTTTACAACATAATTTATATATATATATATATATATATATATATATATATATATATATATATATATAATTAAATAATTAATTACTTTGGAAACTTTTCCTTGGCCAGCTGATTTTTTAAGATTATCCAAGTACTTATTAAACTCCTGTTTTTCTTGTTCACTAAGATTATCACAGGCTTTGTAATCGATATCATGTAATGGCAATTGTTTTTGGAGTTGTTGTCTTCTTAAAGCTGCACCTGTAGATCCTTTAATAGGTAATTTATTAGATGGTAATGCATTCATATAATCTTCTGCCAATTCTTTTGTTATGTCAGGTGGAACCCATTCGAATGGAGTTTCTTGTTTAACTTGCTTCTTATTATTTACTTTAAGCACTGTAACATTTATTTTTCAAGTCAATCTTTTAAAATTTTGAAATATTGTTTGCATAAAACTTGAAATGGATAGCCTTAACAATCACTCACCAACAGAGCGATTGCTTTTTCTTTTAAGACCTGGTCCAAAAAGCAATTCGAATTGAGGAAAATCTTCATCATCGACATCATGATTGTCACCTCTACATTTGCAGTTTTTACAAATTTTTCTCCAGAAATGCAAATCTAATCCAGGACAAGCTGACTCACAGTTCAAACAAGGTGCACCAGCACCAGCTTCATGAGCTAATTTTGGCTACAATAATACAGGAAAAGTAAATGATTTAATTTCATAGTGAACAGAAAAAACTTTATAAAATAATAATTTACGTAATTTTTAAATAAATCATAATATTTTAGAAAAAATATTACAAAAAAATATTTTAGAGCAGTCAAATTAGAAAATGAAAATTAACTCATGAAATTAGATTGAATTTTATACTATTTAAATGCAAATATATTTAATTTTATATGTACTGTTACCAAATATTTAGAATAATATATACTAATTGTACCTTTCTCTTTCTGTTTTCCAACTCTACCAACCACTTTGGTTTATCTTCTTGATCTTCCATGTTTAGATTCCATAAATTATCATCAGTAATTAAAATACAAATAATGAGTAAGATAAATTTTAATTGCAATACTACTGTTTTTCCAAAATATTTTAGAAAAAAAGGTGGAGTGACTTGAGTGCTGATTTGCTTCCATCTACTATCACGCATATATAAATACTCTCTGAGTCATCTTTTGAAGTAACTGTACAGTTAAACTCAAAAGACTATACTGTACAGGCAAGAAAAAGATACAGAGATTTGTAGTCGAGTAAGAAAAAGTATGTAAAGACAATGTGTCACATATAATCAGGATTAGTTACGATGAATTCATAATATGAACTGTGTGACGTTCAAAATAAGATTCTTCAATGAAAGAAAAAATCATTTGATTTTATACAGTTCATATTCATTTTTCAATGTGAATTAATAACCCTCATGACAATTTTCTTAATGTTTATTGTATTCCATTTAATTTTTCATTCTATCAATTGACATGCCATTGAAGAATTACATAAGAAATATTATTTACATATTTACAAATTTATGACGAAATAGTAATAGTAAGAATATCTTATAAACCATTTCTTGTTAAATATTCCTCTTCAGATACCTATAAACAAAGTCAATTAGTAAACATATGAGACTAAGATTTTTATTGTTTCATTATGTGAAATAAAAATAAAAATTCTACCTTTCCTTTCTTATATTTTTTGTACAGAGCAATATCTTCCTCTAATTCTTTTAAATCTTCTTCACTTATAACATTCTTACGTTTTCTTTTTTTAATTCCTGGATTGTTTTCTTCGCGTCTTTTTTCTTTTTCTTTGCGTTTTTGTTTTTTTGTTTTCTTTTCTGATTTATTTTTTTTAGCTTCAGACCAAGCCTCTGTTTCTTTCATTTTCTTCTTATTCTTCCCAGGCCAAATTCCCGTGTCGTGATAATTTTGTAACTTTTGTAATCTTATTGCTTCTTTTTGCTTGTTTTTATAAGCTAATAAATTCACATCGACATCGTCTTCTTTAAAAGATGATAAATCTCTTCCTTTTGTTTCTGGCATTCGAGGAACTTTTAGCAGACCAAAGCCCATAAAAACTTTTCCTAAATTTAAATCTCTTAAAGGTAAAATATAACTGCATACATGTTTTTGGTATGCTTGTATGTATGAAACTACAGCTCTATTTGCCTTGTCATATAAAAGCCTATCTGTTTTTTGCAATTTTCTCATACATTTAAAACATTTTTCTACAAAGTCTTCCCTCACATCTAGTTTTAGTAATTCCATATTTACTTTCTGATTTTTCATTATAAAAATAACATAGGCATCTTCAGATTCAGACAACAACAAAAGTGCATTACCTTCCTTTCCACTTCTTGCTGTTCTCCCACACCTAAATCACAAGTCAAATTATCAATTTTTTTAGTAAAAAAATAGCAATTTTCAGACTAACCTGTGTACAAAACAACTTGCATTGGATGGCGGATCATACTGAATAACCCAGTCAACTTCTGGAATATCAATTCCACGAGCTAATACATCTGTACATATCAATAAACCACTTTCAAGTGTCTGAAATTCTTCAAAAATTTTGTGTCGTTTTTTTTTCATTTTTCCATGTAGTGATAAGATTTTTGTTGAAGATAAAAACCTGTAATATTATTTATAAATATTTTATTTGTGTAAAAATATTATTGAACTTAAGATATTATTTAGTTACGTCTTAATAACAGTGCTGAAGTAATCTACACATGCACAAGTTGAAAAAAAGATCATATATTTTAAGTCTGGTCCTTTACTTTTAATAAAATTTATCATATAAGCTAGTTTTTCATTTGGTTCTACTACTGAATAGTAATTGTTCAAATTTGTAGGAGTTGAATAAATATCATTTTCCTTCATAGTTATCATACATGGATTTCGTAATCCAGCTCTGACAAGTTGATTAACTTCTTTAGTTTGTGTGGCAGAAAATAAACCTGTTCTTCGCAATTTAGGCAGAAAACTCAAAATAATATTGATTTTCAAGGAAAAGCCTAAATCAAATAATCTGTCAGCTTCATCCAAGACCAATATTTCCTAAAAGTAATAATAAAAACTAGTATAATTTTATACTTCCTAACAGTGAAACGTTTTGAAAAATGTATTTATTACCAAAGATTTGACAGCAGCAGCCAAATTAACTTCCTTGCAATTTGTTAATATATCTTCTAATCGACCAGGTGTAGCAACAATTATGTTTACTCCATTTTTCAATTTACGAATATCTTCCTTAATAGTTGTGCCTCCAACTAATAATACTTGCTTTAGATAATTTATCCTGTCAAGAAATTTGTCTAATACCTTACTAATTTGTGTAGCTAGTTCTCTAGTTGGTGAAATAATTATTCCACCTATTTCTAATTTTTTCCATTTACCTGGTCTTTTCTATAATAATTAAATTTTATTTTTAAAAAAAGGGGTAACCAGTTTTGATAAAATATATTTTTCAAATTCGTTTAAGTAAATATTAACATTAAGTATGAAGATTTAAATTATAAATTTTACCTGTAATATTTCTAGTAAAGGTATTAAAAAAGCAAGAGTCTTTCCACTACCTGTAACAGCTTCCGCAGAAATATCTCGTCCTTGCAATAAAAGGGGAATACAAACAGCCTAATACATTTTTCAATAATTGATTAGATATAAATAAATCTATAATCAAATGTTTAAATTCACTTGAATAAGTAATAGCGCTTGCCTGTACAGGAGTCATGCGATCAAACTTCAATTCTTTTACAGTTTCTAAAACCGCAGGACTTAGTGGAACTTCTGTCTCATTCCAGTTTTCCGAGACCATTATTGTTTTTTTTTTATTTTGTATTAAATTTTAAAAATAATTAAATAGATGAAAAAATTACAGTACAGATATTCTAATTACAATTTTAAGCGGTATGCATGCGTGATTTTATCGAGGTTAAGTATACTGTATAACCAGGGTCGGGCGGTTTTGTCAAAAAGCTTCCAGCAGTTGACTTCAGACCTCACAATTTTCGTAAAGAGGAAGTGAAAATTGTGAAGTCTGAAGTTAACTGCTGGAAGCTTTTTGACAGAATCGCCCAACCCTGCATTCGGAATTCACACTTTTCAGGCGCCTGGTACGAAAAAAGCTTTGATTTGTCTAGTCGCAAACTTATAATTTTTTATATCAAAATCAAAATGATTATTTTGTTTGATCTAAACACCATAGTAGCATATAACTAATTATAATTATTAATACTCATTATGAAATTTATATAATTTATATCGAAATTTATTTGAATTCAAGACAAACATCTGAATAACTTGCTGATTACTTACAAATTACACACACATATCATATGTATAGTTTTCTATAAGCGAACATGTCTATATAGCTTGCTAAAAGCCATCATATTTACAAATAAAAAAGGTCGGGCAGCGGACTTAAGTTAAAACAAGTGAACCTATATAGGAACCTCACATTGTCCTAGATATATATTATTGTAACAGAGATTGATTGTAAAATATAAAGCGAATATTTGGAATATAATGAGTAGCCAATATTCATTCACTAAAAACAAAATAGATTCTGATGACTCAGATAGTTTTACGTTAAGAATATCGAGCAACGAAAGTGAAAATGATAGTCTGAAACTTGCGGTTCGTTATGCGAACAGAAATTTTCGTAATTGCTGTTCATATTCTATGTTTAATGCTTTGTATATTACAGTAAAATATTGATCGAGTAATGCTATATTTTTTCCAAAATAACAATAGATTTCTGCAAGTGATGACGATAATACCAATAGTGATTACTATAATTCTGCGACAGGAAGTGGGCTGTCATCTTCGACGGTATGATTGCATTTGTTAAGCCTGTATAAAATCAAATTTTTATTTTTATCACTAATCTTATATTTTTGATAATTTTGACTGAATTTTCATATTTCCAGATCCAAATGGATGAGAACAGATCGCTCAGTCCTATTTTCAATTTTAAAATGGTTCAAAGAAAAACAGTTTCTTTTCAGGTAGCGTAATTAATTTTCTCCACTGAATAATACCAAACTGATAAAATATTTGAGTGTAGTTGAATAATTTGTGAATATAGTTAAATAATGAAGTCGGTAATTTAATTAACTACACACATACGTGCGATGTTTCATTTAATTATTTTGATTTATTTTTTCAAAATCATGTCCGAACTTTTCTTAATAAAACAACGAAATATAATATTGTTTATGTTTTTAATATTCACTTAACAATAAATGCCTTGTAAATTCAATTTTTATACTTACTTTCAGTCTTTGAGTTACAAGTTACAACTTTGTATCAATAAAGTGGAGGCATACAAAAAAAACGAATTATTTTCAAATTCTGAAAACAGAAATGAAAATAGTTCATCCTCTGAAAGTGAGCTAGAAATGAATCAATTTAAGAAAATTGGTAATCAAACCAATAGAGAGCTATTTAGTTCAGATGGTGATAGTTGTTCGACGAATGAAAGAAATGTCATGAGAAATTCATTACATTCCTATCGAATATTAAAAGAATCTGATAAACTGAAAAGTAAGTTCAATTATAGGAAATAATAATGTTGATTCTTATATTTAAAATTGTGTAATGAGGTGTTCCATTGATTTTTATAACTTTGCAGAATGTAAAATTGAAGTTTGGGAACCTATAACGACTTTAAGTTTAAAATGATAGCAATATTCTGAATTTTCAAATATTTCATTTGTATAAAGTTGAGAAGATACCACATCAGAATTAATTTTGACAAATTTTTCCAGGGCGTATAACTCGGAGTGAATCATTAAAAAGGAAAAAATTGCTGCAAAAACAGGTATTTGCAATTTTTAAAGAAAAAAGAAGTCAGAACATTCGAATATTAATTCCATTTGTATCTGTATGTGCTCAATCTAATACATCATCAACAAAAACTTTGCAACAAAAATTACGACAGATGAAATTATTTAGGGTTTCATAAATAAAAAGTTGTAAATGAGTTATTGTGTACTAATAATATTTAAGTATTGGTAAATAATTAATTTCGTAGTATTAAGTATAAAGCAAAAAAATACAATTTATATTTTCTATTCTTTTTATCAATAAAATATTTTTTATGCGTTTTATATGCTGTATACCTAAAAAATCATTAAGTGGACAGCGCATTTTTTAAACTATTTTAAGGAATGAAACGCATAAAAACAAAAGAAAAGGATGCAGAACTATTGCTTTTTAATGAATTTATTTGATGGTTTTTTTTTAAATCTCTTCCATATAAAATTTGTGTAACGATGCCACGCTGTGTGATATTCTGTCTGTTCCTGATTTTCTCACTCACTCTATATACTCGACTAGGTCTAAGGCCGTAAAAGATTGTTCCATTCTTTAATATCTTGATATCGCACACTTCAACCATGATTGTTCGGTTGCATAAACAGTTATAAGTTTCGAGATATTTATTTTTATTTCAACATGCTTTGATACAAAATATGTATTAATTTGCACTGAAATGTGAATGTTTTCTGCTAATGAATAAATAAGCAAATTATTCGAAAAGTAATTGAACCCGCTTAATTTTCTCTTCTGCATGCCTGCAGAAATAAAATGATTCTGAAAAATATGTTTTATTTCTTTGACCTATGCGTAACAAACGAATAACTAAAGTTCATGCATAGAAAAAGGATTTTGAACCAGATGACCTAGAAAAATGGCAATTTTATACATATCGGATATTAATTGCGTTGTATAAAAGCATCACATATTTCAAGCGTCAAGTTTATTTCTCGACAAGAAAATTATTCACGATTGTGACACAAGCTGTGTACAAGCTTTATATCTCGTTGGCAATATTCTGTATTGAACTCGAAATAGCGATATCATTTGCGTGTCTATCAATTTTTTAGCGTTCGATAGAAAATACAGGCATCGAAGTTCTTATCACGTGAGTCGTATTTTTTTTAATAACAAAAATCAATATCAACAAATTTGGAGTGTGCAAATTCTTTCGCATCCCCGTTGTAATACCGTACACTTCACCTACACTTCACCATATTGAAAGATGTAACATTTCAATGCGCATACGTTTTCAAATTTGATCTCCCATTTCCTCCTTCCTTAATTTCCCACTATCTTTATTCTGCCTCTCTTTTCTTAAGCTAAGAAGGAGATTCTAAATTTCAAATTGATGTCGATATTATTAAAATTTGATAAATTTTAATAACTTTTTTTATTTTGAAAAAAAAAAAAAAAGAAAAAAAAAAAAAAAAAAAAACTGTCACACAAATGTGTGTTCTGAATTTTTTTATTTTGATCAGCTAACTTTTTTTCTAAAAAGGCATTTAGAATGTTATGATCAAAGATTTTCTTCTCAGAACACCATATCGTTGAAAATGACAAATATCATTATTGTGATTTGACATTTTCCCTTTCTCCTAATATTTTGCGTCACTCCAGCTTTGGTATACACAGCTTATCCGGATTGGAAGCTTGTATGCGAACCTTGTGTATTCATTCGAGCGATTTCACATCCTCTCTCACTACTCTGCTTTTCTTTCCTATATATTCGCAGAATAGCATATCATCTATCGAGCAGCATTATCTGCTTGTTTCAATTAAAAATGAGAACATTTGTTTTCCCTGCTACGAGCTTTTTACAACGCAGTTTAAGAACTGCACGTAAGCTGCGGGCGTCAAGTTTTTTAATTATACTATATACCTAGTCGCAGTGAAAGCCACTTGCAAGAGTTATAGTTCTTTTTAACGTGACGTTTAAAGTGATTTCCTCTTATGAACACAAAATAATAATAAATTTCGTAAGAGACTCTTATACCTCAGAAGCAATTGAGAGCAGATATGTATTATGTCAATGTAGAAGAGTGAAAATCCGTCGCTGTTTCACTCACGAGCCAAAAAGAGAAGAAAAAATAAAATAAAAGAGAAAGAGAGAGAGAAAGAAGGAAAGTTAAAGGAGAGATCAAAAGACGAGTGTGATGATTAACTTAAGTAGATAGTCTATGAGAGTGAGGTGATAAGGAAGATAAAAACAGAAATGAAAATATGAAGGTGGAGATGTACGGGTATAGACGTAGATAGATGTAGAAAGTATAACAGAAAATTTTTCATTTTGGCCGCAATCGTCCAACGTTGATAAAAGTGACTTGGAAATTTTCGCTAATATTTCCGCAGGTGTTACGATTTCCGTCGTAATGATAATATATTTATATATGTATATATTTATATCGATAAAGTTCTATGTTTATTTTTCCGCACTTCCCGGCACTAGCAGATTTAAACCCGCGCGGCACTGTATCCTGAGCCAACGAGAGCACGTTTTCTCTCATACGTATGTATATACCCAGGCGTATGTGTTGTTTGTATATGTGCGCATCCTTATCGCTGGCTTTCTCGTAAGTGTTGCTGCTGCTGTCTGCCTGGGAAGGCGTGGGACTACTGGTTATGCGGCATGATGACGGGTATGGTTTGCTGGCCTGGTGGTGGCTGAGGCTGTGGGATGTACTGCATATGTTGGGGTGGTAGAGGCAAATGCGGCGGAATTATGGGACAAATCATAGGATAGCCCGCTGGTGCATGACTTGGTGGTGGTTGCGGGTACGAGGGCTGTGGTGTACCTGTGATTAATCATACGATAAATCAGCTGGATTATTCAAATCAGGTTTGAATTTGAAATTGCATAGTAGAATTGAGCAGATAGTCCACCTGGAGGATTGTAAGCGCTGGGCGTATGAGGTGGATTGGGGTTGGCCGGTGACGGAGTTTGACTCGGTGGCTGTTGACCAACATGGGGATGTGGATGGGCGTGCGGATTCATATACTGTAGTCCCGGAGCTTGAGGGCCCGGAGATTCATGATGATGATGATACGGATTTGCGGCGAGGTGTGGCGGAGGCGGTGCCGTCTGCACCATTCTTACTGCTTGAGCTCCGTAAATCGGTTGTCCGGAATAAGGCAACTGGAATGGCGGATGTAGCGGAGCTGGAGCCAACAGTGGCTGTCCCGTTGCCGCAGCCACCTGCATCTGCGATGCTACGTCGGGCCCTCGATGTTGCATCACAGGTACTAAAATAAAGCAATCGTTTGTCAAATTGTTCCTTTTTTATGCTATATTATCAGCGAAATTAATTAGTAAATATTGAGATTATTTGCAATACCTAAATATTGACTTCCCTTCCGGAACCTAGTCATTTGTTGAGTTGGTTGTTGCGTGAATGCGCCTGGTGGTTGATTTTGCATTATAAATGCAGGTACCACGACTGCAGAGGACATTGTTGCTGGCGCGTATTGTGGAGTTTGAGGCGTATGTGGTCTACTTGGTGTCGGTGTACTCGGAGATCGCTGTAAAAATAAAGTAACTATTTTAGTAAACGACATTTCCTTAAAGGTTTATGTACGAAAAATGTAATATTGAGTCATTTACCGGTGTAAAAGGTTTAGCATTCGGATTAAATTCTTTAGCATTCGGATTAAGCGTGGAATTTTTAAAGGAATTTGCTATTTTTTCGACAGTAACATCCGGTGGTGTTTGCTGAGTTGGCGGCGTTGGTTGTGGATTTTGCGGTTGAGACTGTGGAGGTTGCGAAGATGGAGGCGGTGGCTGCGACTGTTGCTGAGATGGAGATGGCTGCGGAGGCTGCTGTGGACTCGTTGATTGAACTGGTATCGAGCCTGGTGGAGGCTTATTTGTGACTACCAGCTCTTCTTGTATAGGCGGTTGATGAGGTTGTTGATGTGGCTGATGCTGCTGTGATGCAGGTGTTGGCTGCACCGTTTGTGGTGGCGTACTGTGTGAATGTGCTTGTTGATGATGTGGCGGACCCTGATTGACAAATAATTTCGTATACATTTTTTTTTTTAATAATTTCTTATGGTCCCACACTGTACACCTGGTACACCTGTGGTACACCTGGTCCCTAACATATTTTGGCAGTAAATCAATTTACTATTACTAATTTTTTAAGATAACATTATTATAAATACTTTAAACAAATATGATTATTCCGAAAAGATAAGTAAAATTTTGATTTGATATGTTCCATTATTATATGGAATGGTACATGTATTACCCAAAAACAGTAAACATTACCATTATTGCATGAGATTAAGCAGAAGCAGTGAGGTAAAAGACAAACACAAGGATTACACTGAGACAGCCAACGAACATACAGAAAAGAAATAAACAAAAAAAATAAAAGCACGTTTATTATTATAATTAGTACACTCATTCAAATCATACAATCAATTCATTAAGTGTGGTAAAAAGTATGTATCTCGCCAATGATTTTTGTTTCTTGTTTCAAACAAAAACATACAAAATAAAATTTTATTTTAATTTGTGAAAAAACAATTTAAAACTAAGTCTTTGGTTGAACGAAATACTCAAAGCAAATATCATTCTAGTTTTTGCAAATAAATATTAAATAACCGGTTGTAATACTGTGTACAAATGTTGGAGATTCCTTCAAATTTGATATAGTGATCAAGAGTATCCTATCATTATAATATTATAATTTAACATTAATTGAAAATAAAAATTAAAATGCTCAAATAAGAACTTTTAACTAAATCTTTCTGAAATATTTTATCTCCACACATTTGTATGTTGTCCGGTTAAAGTTTGAAAATCTTCAATAAATACGCGCTAGCCTAAGCAATAAATTTAAGAATAAATAGATTTTCAGATATTTGTGAATCCTGTAGAAAATAAAGATACTTGCAGCACTAGTGATTTCTTACCATTGGAGGACCTTGCGGTAAATGCGCTTCTTGAGGATGAGGTTTTCTACCGAGTGACGATTGTGGTTGTGGTTGTTGTTGCTGTTGTTGCTGTTGCTGCTGCTGTTGTTGCTCCTGACCGACTTGTGGCTCCGCCAACTTAAACTCTGTGTGAAATTGTCTTAGTTCAGAATTCTGATCATCTCGACTTCTCGGAATTGGTGCTTTTCTATGTGATTGTTGCTCCTTAGGAGGCATCATTTGAGAGGGAGGACCATCTGCCACATTTTGTTGCTGTTGTTGCATGGGAACATGCGACGGTGGCTGGGGTTGTGGCGACTGCTGAGGATGCTGAGGCACCACATGAGCACCAGGGAAAGGCGCAGGTGGCGCCTTGTCTGATTGATAAACTTGTTGTCTACTAGGACGTTCACGTTTCTCCATACTTATTTTGTTCATGGGTGGTTGCTGTGGACCAGAAAATGGTACCTGAGGAATATTCGAAGTGACTTGCGATGGAGGCTGGCCCTGCGACATCACTACAAAAGAGCAAATTAAAAATTTATTGTATAAGCCAAGTGACACTTCGAGCTATAAATCGCTTTTGATTTGAAATTTAATTGATTAGTTACCAGGGCCAGGCGGGGGTGGTTGAGAAGACGGTGCAGGCACAAAAGGTGGCGGATTGTACGAGACTACAACTCCGCTGGGCATGCCACTTGGAATTGCATTCATATTCATAGGTACCGCGTGTTGCACGACGGGTGGGTGTGACGGCATATTAGCTGGAATGTTGCTTGAAGGAGGAACATTTACAGTGGTGTTGGTAGACGCTGGAGGCTGATTGAACGCGTTCTTACTCGTCGCCGAACCTGGTGACTGTGGTGGCGGAGTTGTACGCATCAACTTGCCGGTATTTCCATTTTTCCTTTTTGCTGGAGGAACATATTTACCTTCGTTGCTCCGAGACTGTAAAAATATAATTTCAAATGTGAAAAAGCCAGTACGTTTCAAATTTTCAAGTACCCATACGGTATAAATAATTACATAAGAGTCATATGGATTACGAACAACAGCAGCGAATTTATCTTCTTCATCGCCATTTTCGAGTTCCAAACGAGCTCTATGATCTGGCTGAGACTCAATCTCGCTTGCTATTTCCGCAGCTTTCTTTTCTTGTTCTTTGTAATCCTTTGTATCTTTGCGCTGCAGCTGAACAGTATATTGACTTAAATTTGGTTCAAACGTGGTTTGAATACCAAATCTTTGCTCATTTTCACGGAACATTTCATCAACATCCCAACCATTCTATAAAGGAAAACAAATAAGATTTTAAATGAATGTATCTTTGAAAAAGCATTGTCAATGATGATTTTTCTGCAAGTTGAATAACTTACTGAAGAGGAATCTAATTCCAAACTGGCCCCATTTGTTGGTTTTCCGTTATCAGTACTAGCATCCCAAGGTTCAAGTTCTTTTTCTCCCTTCAGAACACCATTAAATTTGCTGATTGCTGTGTCTGTTTGGAATGTATCTCTTACCGCATATTCCAAGTCAACATCTAGGGCAGATAGCATCACTATATCTTGGGGTTTGAAGATCAATTTTTCTACAACACTCTCAACATTCATCTTTCCAGAGTTTTCAACTCGGTGAGCCATTTCCAAAACAACTTCAAATTGACTAGAGAATGTTCGAAAAACACCTTCATAGATTGAACCATTTTGAGTTTGAACCTGAAGAGTTATCCAAATTTGATTAGTATCAATTAATAGTAAAATAATTCAACAACCATATGATAATATTGTATTATAAGTACCTGAACAGTGTTACCCACATGGCTTGTAATTGCATGCATAAAATGAGCATTGTTGTAAACTCCTTCCGCTATGACACTGCGGTCTTGCGGACCTCGAGCCCGTGGAGATCTATCAAAAGTAGAAGCATTGTTAAATATTTTATTGATTTTCAATTAATATCAAAATTAACTGACCTTGTAAGGTTTGGACGGTTCTTTCTTTTGCTGCTCATTTTGCTATCGTGATAGCTATCCTCACCAGAAGTTGGTGGATTTCTCCCGCCGGTTTTTTGGGGGCCTTCTGGTTTCCTTGTGGGGACCGGAATTTTGACGACTTTTTCAAAAACTCTCCAAACGCAATATTATTACTAGAGGCCTGTTATCCTCTGGTTGCAGTTTACGGAATGCCTCCGTCAGTCAAGTCACTGTAACGAACAGTAGAATTTACTCCAACCAATGTATACAAACTAACTGGTATTTCCTCTCTCTTTCACTCTGTGTCTCTTTCTCTTTCTGAGCAGTCTTTAAATTGATTAATAATGTCTAAAGTTCTTTTTCTTACATTAGCTGAACGACGCGAGGACGAGCTAAAATAAGCAAAAGGAAATTTAAGCTGTTACAATGAATAAATTAATCAGAGCTTGTAAAAGCTGTATCCATGATCAACAGTTTAAGATGACAAGTACTAAATCGACACATGGGCATCCGTGATGTATTTATAATTAGGCAAAGATTGCAAAAAGGACTAGGACGGAACGCAAGAATAACGGTGATCAATTGGAATGGGACAAGAACGCAAGGAAATACAGACACAGCCTTAGAGTCATCTGCAGTGAGCGAGGTAATGGTTCTTGGGAGCAGCATCAGCGTGTGCAAATATGAGAAAGAGAAAGATAGAGAAAGAGAGAGGAAGAGTGCGCGCGCGCTTATATCCGCATGCTCGAAATTTTCGCAAAGGAAAATGGGAACACCAAGTGGAAAAGCGTCTCGCAATCATCCGTTACCAGTCTATGCGCGCACACAGATCGCAAACTCTCCTCGTCGCCGTTTTACCGAGTAGGTGCACCTCGTATCTACCTCGTTCGCTCGCTGGCGCGTGACGTAACGTCGGACTCGGATCGTCCCTCTTTCTCTCTCTCTCTTACACACACGCATATACATGCACGCACACATCATACCATACACACACATACACGCACGTTACTCGTCTTTCTCTCGCTCTGGGCCGCGTACTCACTTGCGAAGCCGACAGACAGACGTGACCCTTTTACGCTGGGCCGGTCCCAGCTTTCAAAGATATACTTGAATAAACAAACTTGCCAAAACTCGAGTACACCCTAACCCTGCCTCTGATAAATAAAGCGCCGTAAGTGCAAGCGAGACAGACCGAGCATTGCGAAGGACCGAATCAAGGGAAGGTGCATGCTGTAGTCGCAGACAAACAAGCGCACAGAAAAAGAAATGGACTAAAATTGACACGTTTTTGAGAATACTTTTTACATTTGACAAACTTACCTACTCGTCCGCTACTTTACTTGTTCACCGTTTACGATTTCAAAAGCTGCTTGTTGCTGGTGCTACTTGGAAGGAACCAAAGTAGCGTGTACACGTACGAGCGACTCTTTCTCTCTCCCTCTGCCAACGACGCCGCAGAAAGCAACGATAAACGCACTCTTGTCCTCTCCTCGAGTGGTCGAACCTGGGGCGAGGACGTGCACCCTTACTTCAAATCAACATGTGCCGTCGTCACCGCGTGTGCAGACGGATAAACACTAAAAACAATGTCTATATGCGTAAGGATTGTCGAAGTCTACCGAGTGCTCGGTGAGACTGCGGAACAGCTACCGCGCGCTATTCACGCTCGGGAAAATGCCGCCGATAATACGCGCAGGGATACACGCGGCGCGCGCACCCTACGCTGATTCGCTTTGTCTCTTTCTAATTTGTATCTTGCTCGCTCTCTCGGCCCCAGCCTATATCTCTCTTTCCTTCTCTCCCCCCCTTCTGCCAGCACGCTACCTACAGCTTAACCTGGCAAACTTTGCTGTGGGTTTGCGCATTGTTTGCATGTGCGGTTACGCAGATCAAGGCATCTAGTTTGCATGTTTCGGCCCTGACACTTCGTTAGTTCGTTTTGAGCACTGTGTGTCACCCAACCCGCCCTTTTCTGTTATATACCTTATTGACTTGCTTTATCGTTTTTTTATCTCGTCTCATTTTCAACTTTGTTTTTGCTGGATGCATTTTTCAATGCGCACGTCACAACAGCTTGGCGAGTCATTCAATGGACAAAAAGCGGGGCCAGAACGGGGCCTGTTTCATTTACACTTTCAAATTCAATGTCAATTTGAAAATGCTGATTTGCCAAATTTCTTTATTAGACTAAGTTTTGCAGTGCTCTGCAACTTATTGTACAAAATAACGCGTATGTATATTGCATATACACATGTATACACGCATATTTTTAATGCCTAACGTTGTGTGCGTGTCTTAGTTCGACGACCGTATAGCGTAGATATTCCTGCAATTTTCTTCCCTCTCTCTTTTTCTAAGAGTTCGCCGATCACTTTTACATATCTTTTGTCTGCTTTTATCTTACAATGTTTTCTTTGATGCGCGCGCAAAGCATAACCTGTGTAACCGCCAAATTTAGATCGAGTGCGCTAATCCTTTCGATAATAGATACTTAACTATGATGTCTATTTATATGGATTTATATGTATCGTAAATTCCTTTCATAAAGTGTTTGAACACTTAAAACCGCATTGAGTCTAAGAAAAATAATGGGAAGTAATACGTATATACGATGAACGTGAAATTTCACAAAAATTACCCGTTATTCAAAACAAATGTTAAAAAATTATTATATTCAACTTTAAAATAAACGTATACATAAACGTATAGTTTTGTTAGATGTGTGTATAATCGAATAATGTATCACAAGTTCGTGCGAGAGTTCCGACATGCGCAAACATTTTACGAAATTCGAGAAAAGTGCAATTAGGACCGAAGGTCATCGGCCAGGAGCGGGCTCGGCGGACGTGAGTTTTCGTCAGACAAAGGGATTAGTCGAGACAAGGCAAGTGGTGGGGCTTCTAGAACGACTACTTGAAATTTATAACGTAGGTTATGAAAAAGGATCTGCAAGATAACATGCAGTGACTACCAGGCAATTAAATTACTAAGTATATGTATGCATGTTTGGAGAAAGTGGTAATGGCCAGGTAGTAACGGCCTGTACAATTGACTGCCAATAGTCTTACGGAATGTTTTAAACCGAACGACAACGTCGCACTTCAGCGCGGACGCGTGAAAACAGCGTTGCTGCTGAAAAAAATTCTCTCTGGGTCCCTAGAATTTATTTCATTTAACATAATGCGATAATTTCTAGGAACTTTGTAAAATATGTTTTCAACGATTTCAAAGGCAACGCTACGAGAAAAATAAAATGTTTAGTCAATTAGTCATCAAAATTCATATTAATCTGTTGATTACAATGGTTAATAGCTTAAATCCATAGTTCTGTACAATATACAGATAGTATATAACTCTCTACACAATAATAGAGGAACCTGACAAATAATGAGTGAACTATGTGTGTGTGTGTGTGCGCGCGCGCGCATGTGTGCGTGTGTGTGTGTATATATCTTTCTGAGATACTAAATTGTTTTTATTTACCATTTGTGCAAGTTACTGTTATTATATGTTGAATTTAGTCATCATGAATCACCGAACTTATTAATTAATTAGTAGATTGATTAATTAATTCATAGATTAAAGTTTTTATTTCATGCTTGAACGTTTTATTTTTCGAGCGTGCGCGCTCGAGTATATATTTTTGTACAAATCCCCACCTGGGAATATGGCGCGCGATTCAAATTTATTTAAAAAGATCACAATTATATTAACAATTCCTACAAATAAAGTATAAATTACTATAATTTAAACTATTTTAACATGATTAGACATCTTGTGACGTCAGAAAATATGACATATTTAATTACGCTGTTTTTAGTCTGCACTCTCCTGCAATAAAACTTGAACTAGCAAGGATGTGATATTGAAGAGTCAAAAAGCATGACGAAACGTGTTGTAGAATCTAATTTTCCTTAGTAAATGTAGCTCTATCCGAGACACTTGCAGGACCTTTATAGCACGTGCAATTAGGAAATTAATGACGTCGATTATCCGTTCGCGAACTAAAGAATAGAAAAAAGAATAGAAAAAAGTTGAAATATTGATAAAAAGAAACTTAATTTTACCGGCAAAGTACATTGTTGATTCTTCTATAATAGAGCTTTACATTAATTTTGACAAAAACTATTTGCACAACAGTGCAGCTTGGCCCACACACTCGTGGCTTTTTAATAGTCGAGGAAATAACATCCCTCCTCTTGGTCTTTGAGATCTTCTAGAAGTTGACCAAATTATCATGCCGCAATTGGTTCAATAATCACAACAAACTTCTGAATAGCGAGGAGATCGATTCATAATTGACCGGCACATTTGAGTTCAACTCTTTTCTCGAGAGATGGCTCAATGTGTACTATTTTATAGGTTTGTAATATATTTAATTAATTAACAGCGTACAGTGCTGTATGTATTTTGCATATGATAATTTAACAATAAATTGCCAATTATAATTATAACAATTTAATAAACGAAATGAAGATTTCATATTTCTAATTTATATTGATCGAATAAAAGTGATTAAGGAAATTATTTGTGAAGTAAGATACAAAATTTCAATTTCATTTATGTAAATGTCATAATTTTTATTAGAAAACATTGATTTTAATAAAAGCGCTTTATAAATCTTCCCTGACTTACTTTCACACGCTGAAATTTTTTATTATATGCATTCTTGTCTAACATTATATCATTTTAATCTAGTTTCTTGTAACGCTTAGTCATTGACTTTAGAGGCTTTTAATATTTAGATCTTTGTGAAGGTTCTCATAATATGTATTTTTTAAAAATTTATAAAAGTTTACCTAAATATTCAGTCGCCATTATATAGAGTTCGTGTATGACAGTGAGAATTTGTCAACTATAATCTAACTATACTGTTGTAGTATTTTCAAGAGTATTATGTTATAATTAATTTACAATATAATTTATTATTGTTAACTATAGTTTGAAACCCAAGCTATTGGTCGTTCCTAAAACATCCTGTAGAATTGGAAATTTCCGATAACATACTTATTGTCAAATACACAAGACATAAATATAAAAATCAATACTACTTAGGCGATTAATGGCTGAGATCCATTTGATCTATAATACCTTATTTACTATCATGTGAAAGAATAAGGAAGAAAATAATTAAATTGTAGATGTTTCTGCATCTTTAATCGTGAATTTACTTTCGTATAGACTAGATCGTTTTTCAATTATATTTTCAAAAATGTCAGTGATAATCCTCTTCAAAATGCTAAAATTTTCTAATGATTGGTTTTAGGATGTAGATTCTTACTAAGTGAAATTGTTCTAAGGTTCCATTATTTATTATTTGTAATAGAATTCATTTTTATTAATTGTAATTCGTGATTGTGCGATCGTAAAGAAAATGATTCCTTAGTCGTTAAATATGTATTACAGATAAAAGTGGATAAAACGGCTCCTTCGAATTTGAACTTCGGTAAAGCCTTCGCAAATTAAATAATCGAATTTTAAATGCTTAACTTAAATTCCTTGTTCCAAATTGTACAAAATCATATGGTTATTTTTTTTCAATTACGGTTTTTAACCTCAAAAAATAGGGAAAATGTTAAGCATTTGAAAAAATTTGGGATAAAACGGTCCCTACAGAAACACGTTAAGAAATCCGGAAAAAAACAGCTTCAATCTTCTTTACTCACACAAGCTTTATGTACACTGATAAATTATACTCATTCTTAATGCTTTTTTTAATCACAGTTTATTATGCTCGAATTGTTGGTCTCACTTTGCTCGGAAGTAAACGTCACGTGAAACAAAAATCTATTTTCTCGCGTTTGTATCGTAATGTACTAATTTATGTGTTCATGATCAGTGGAGAATAGTTAGCTTGTTTTTTAGATTTGCAGTTACAGTCATTAATCCTGCATATGTAAACTGCCAGGCTGTTTTGCGGATATGTGAACAAAACTTGGGCCTTACGCTGCACAGTTCGGAAAAGTAATTGTACAGCGTACAGGATTAGCGTGGTCAGCGGTAAGCAAGAACGAGTTAAGGAATGGAAAATTTGGTGAATAGGGAAGTAAAGAATGGCCCGAAAAGTAATGCTTATGCAGTCGCTGCCGACGGTCAGCGTGACGAGACGAAAGGAAGAGTCAAGTAGAGATGATGGCAGAGATAGCAGACTCTTTTAAGCGCATAACGAAATCAGTTGTAAGATACGCGTTAAAAATATTGTGTCACTGTGCGAATTTGCTGCCAAGTTATAATTTTTTTCGATTCACCATATGTCCGCGTTGAAAAAAATTTTAGTTCAATTGCAAACTTAATAAACAACAATATATAACTCTTGTTCTTTCCCCTAACAATCCACCTAACACCGAATCTCCTCTATGTATGTTTGGGAGGGTAGGAGGCGTTAAAAGAAACATTTTTACTTCATTAGAGAAGAAGCTTTGCTTTTATTTTGTATATATTTTATTTGCTCATGAATGTTTAGTTGAATTATAAAGTTTATTTTTTAATTCAAATTATTGTGTAAAATTTTTAAGTAACACATATATATATGTACTTTTCATGTAAAGAGGTAACAAAATCCTAAACAAAATCATTGTAACTGGTGTCTCTCAGACAAAGAAATGTGTGTTTTATTTAATAATCATACCGATAAGCTCTTAACTGTCAGAATTTAACATTCAGCCCAAACTGGAAGTGTTAGTATTTAAAAAATCTTATTAGCATGCTGTTCACTACGGAATCAGCGATAAAATGTTAATTAAAAGAATAAATGAACTTGTCTTATTTTCATGTTACAAGGTTACAAAATTTCTTTCACAACCATAACCGTGTAAAACCGCGTTGTGAATCCACCGATTGAAAAAAAAGGAGGTTCTATTCGAAATGATTTTTTTTGTATGTTCGCCTATTTGTCTTGAACAATCAAATCGACTTCAATGGAATGAGCTCATTGAAAGGGGTATAGAAGTTTTGCATTGATAAATTTATTATTTATTTATAGATAAATTTATTATTTATCAAATTTTTTGCTTGAATAAAGCATAACTTTGCGAGTATTTACAAAAAAAAATGTTGAAGTCGGCTTTTTATTTTGAAACATTATTTGTCCTTAAACGCATTGTTCGGAAGCTTCTTCTCAAATCTGTAATATTACACTGTAATTTTCAACTCGTAAAACGGTAGTGTAGTAAATGAATTGATCGTACGCAGTACGAAAAAATCATAAACCATCTGTACTTTCGTTAAATTCATTATTTATCAATTGATATCTACAAATTATTGTTTGACATATAAAGCAGATTAAATTCGTTTTATTATATAACAATAATAACGAATACTGACATGCTTGATGAATGATTTAGTTACATAGCAATCGATACGGTTATTGCGTATTGTTCGGTCATGTATATGTTGTTTCTAATGAAACAAATATATATTTATTGAACTCGAATTTTCAAGATAATTTTCATAAGTATAATATAAGTATCGAATATGATTTTGAATAATAAACATTTCTTTGCAAATATTAGAAGGAAACAAAGTTTACAATTTGAAAAAATTCGTTTGTTTTCAATGTTATTTTAGATGCAGGGTAATAAACTGCAAAGAACTATGTCGCGTGATATGAAAAATAACAAATAAACCTTCATAGTAACAGGAGAATCGTTTACATCATTTAAACTATTTTATTGATTAATAAATAAAACCTAGCAAGTATAGAAAATTAGAAAAACGTGCCTTACTAGTTAGTTATACTGTCACCGGCCAATGGGCTGGAACGTAACGTATACAAAGTAAAAAATTGTGGTTACAAAAATTGAGTATGAATGGGCTTATTGGGGATTTAGCGATCTCCTTACTCGGTTTCTCATTCGATCTTTGTCGTCGACATCGTAAACGGCATTAAGCTTTCTGACCAGACATTTCGTTCTATCTGTGATAAAGCTATCGATTTGACCGAGCACGCTGACCAGCTGTATCATCTTCTCGAAGCCCCGATTTATCCGCTCGGATTTCTCGAGCTCGAATTGCTCACGAGTCAACGGTATATCCAGTAGCGACTTCGGGTTTGACGATTCCTGGACCATTCGTGAGATCCGTTTTAGCATCTCTCGGTCCTCCCTTGTGAATTTTTCGTCCGCCGAGGCTGTCTGTTAACAAGAAAATGGGATCAATGTTAAACTTTTCGTCAGTACAAAATATCCTTACACGATACAAATGTGCATTGATTCTACGTTTTCGTGAAGAATGCGAACGCAATACAAAATTATCAGCTATTAGGCAGCGCGTAAAATTTGAAAATGGAATTTGCACTTACTGTGCAAGAAAATGATAAAGGTCAAGAGAAAACAATTTATGCGAGGATGATAATTATTCACTGTGTTTACTTACTGATAGAAGAGCGACAATGAAAATAGTGACGAATACGGAAAACGCCATCGCGGGCAGCTTTCCAAAAGTATCGAGAATCGACTTCAGTCGACTACTTTCAGTTGAAAAAGAGCGCTAAATAAATTTATGAAATTGTAACGCGCTTGTCGATCGGCAATGCCAAAAGTCAATGCTCAGCGTACTCTTATACATATGACACGGGCTCGGGAATTCAATACTCATCAAAATTTGTTGATATTGTTGCGGGTGATCGCGGCCTACATTTCATCATAATCAAAATTTTGTAATTATAACGTGAATTATCTCGAAATAGATCTGTTTTGCGTGGCAACGAAGCATGGTTTACTGATGGAACAGTTCCATGTCTGGTGAATATACATCGAACTGAGCTTGAATACTTGTCGGCTAATAACGAAGTTTATTAATTGTAGTGTCTATAAAACTGAGGGTATTTAGAAAAACCGTACGAAACGTAGCTTGCTTGCTAAAGTCTGAGCTATTTTCAAATTTTTAACAAACAACGAAATTCAAAATTTCACGTGAAAAACGTATTTTTACAGATGTGTATCTTGGAAATCTGGAATATTATTGATAATAATCGGCAGCGAAGCCTTGGCCACCTCGCCGATTGAGAAACCCGACGTTTTGCGAACGCCACGTTCACGTTCCTCGTTACACGTGCGCGCAGTGATATTCGTAGCGAGTAGCAGGGGGTCATTAGCGTCGCGGCATTGAGCAATAAAGAGAGAGAAGACGGCGACGCAAAGCAAACACACATGCTGACCTGGCGATCGTCGTCGATTGGCGGCGGCGCGTCGCAGTTTGCGTTTCTCCAAACGGGCCGACTTGCGCTCGATCGCGGCTTTCTTGAAGCAGCCCATCCGAAAGTCGATCAGCTCGCGTATGTGCTTTCGCAAATGATCCAAGTCCTCCCGACTGGCCTTCTTCGCCTGTATCAGAAACTGGCGGATGCTCTCCCTCGCGTTAGCCTGCGCACACCATCATTCCATTATTTCCTTAGCCCGCCCTGGAATTTCCTCAAACGCCGCAATTATTCGATTGCATATGCAACACTAACATAGACAAGCGAGCGCGGTGCAAAGATCGCGCAGTATGTGCAAATCGGCCAATTTAAATGCAAAATCAATTGAACCGCACGAGTAAAGAAAATTGATTTACGTATTACTATTGCACTATTCGGGCTTGCAACATTTGATAAGACAAGCCAGACCTGACAGTCGATCGGCCGATGATATTTGAGATAATCGCGATTGACAGCGGCCTCCGTATTACTCCAGACAACAGAGCCAACGAAGAGCACCAGCAATAGGAAACGAATGCCTCCGCGCAACAATGCGGAAATGAAGACGATTTCTGGCATCGAGCCGCACTTTTGTTCTCAATATTGCACTTCGCACCTCGATTTTTTTTTCCTTTTCCTTTCTCGAGCGTCGACGAATGCGGAAAACGCGACACTGCACGGCTCACGATTGCTCGCTGCTCGTTCGAGTTTCAGCACGCGCATCCGTTCCTCTCCGGAAGGTCATTGCCCAAGTTTTCATTTTATATTTTGACATGGAAAGCTTTCGCGGATGTACACGCATAATTCCTGGTGCGATCGGTTAGAAGCAAAACGAAACGATCGTGATGAGGTTTTTTTGCTGCAATATTAGTGGGATCTGCGTATTTTCTTTGTTTGTGTTGTTGCTTTGCCAATGGGTGAGTGTTCGAGCATTTACGTTTTATAATGATTTATGCGGAAAAAGATTAAAACTCATCGGTCTCCCGTGATGCTTTTAACATTTGTGTAGACTTCAATTAATGGGCCCATAGATAGGATTTTTAAGTGGCTCCAGTCGAGACACGTTAATGTATGGAAATTATTTTATCATTAGTGCTAGATTCGTCTGATTGTAACATTTACGTACAACAGTACAGTTTTGTATGCGAGTTTCCGAACCACCGTTATTCCCGCGGAAAGAAAAAAACTTATAACGTGTAACGATCATTCGCTTTGTATATTACTGGTAAGCGAAACAATGAACATGCATTGTGCAACGATACTTTTAGATGCTTATAGCAATCATTTTGCTTTCTGAAAATAAATCATGCTTGCTAATTTTTCAAGGTCTCGGTTTCCTTATGGATTGCTGTAATACTCGCGATATGTTAAGAAAGAGACGCAAATGACACCTAGCTTTATTGCCCATTTACAGACATCAGCGGCGCCGGCGGAAAGACATTACCTAACCACTAATAGGTTAAGAGCGGGGTCACAAAATCCACTAAGTTACATGGTATCGAGAGCCTTGGGAGTCTTTGTTAGAACCTTATCTTTTTTCTATCAATGGGTGCCTGACTTCTTCAGACCAGTGCCGCCCAGATTTTCCAGACGCATCTTCAAAAATTACGAGAGAAGGAAAAGTCGACGACGACATTACGACGATGACGATGACGATTTTTATTGATTTTTGTTAGATTATGATATTGATTAATTATGTTTTACAGCATATAAATAAATAAATAAACAAATATTGTAAATTTGCCGTGTTGTTAATTGTTAATTTGCAGAAGAATCGTGTTTGTTAAATCATCCACGTCATCGAGTAAACATCCGCGGTGTAAATTAATACGTCGAGCGAAAATATGACGTCGAGAATCGGAGCGGTGTACTTTTTCCATCGCCTCGGAGTTTCAAAATGCACTAACAGTTTTTCTGTTCGAAAACTGGATCGCATATTTATATGTCTCATTTTTCATCTTTATAGCGATAAATCGAGCTTGTGATTTCACGCACACACGACGCTGGTACAATACAGCTGATTCACGCGCACTTAAACAAGAACTACTATTACACTTTTTCCTGTTTTATTGTTACGCACTGCTAATAGCGTATCCATTATTCAATAATTTCAGTCTCACGATTGAAAACACTCGAGCTCATTTTCTTAATTGAGGACATTGTAGTCACGTACATTGTACGCAACGAAGCGTACAAAATAATGACGTTTTCAATCTAAATGTATAAGCATTACGCAAAATATGTATGAACATGCGAGAATCACATTTTTTACATTAAATGTTGTGGCGCGAAAGTTTGATAAGTACAATTGATGTATAATTCTAGGTATTTATCAATGTAGCTTATCGTCGTCAATGAAAAATAAGAAATCCTGAAAGACAGATGCATGTGCTCTCCAGCTGACCATATATCAGCAACATTGAACTCTGACTATACGCGGTTGCGTGATAATTGGCTATCATTAAATCTAATTTTTTTTCTTTTTCGAGTCCTTCAAGTAGACGAGAGTCGCGCATTATGTCATTTCATTTGGATTATTTGCCGTGCACTAGATATATTCTTTTTCAAATGATGCATGGCTTAATTTCCGCTTGTGCTTGTTTATCGTTTTTCAATTTACCGCTTGGCAAACATATCGCATAATGTCTGGATGACCTAATTCGATTGCCCAAAATTGTTTACTAAAAATTAATTGTGCAAAGACGCGTGCCAATTATCGTTGATCATGTGATGTTCAGAGTTGAATTTTGTTCTTTGATCGAGTTAATAAACATTTTTTTTAATAATTATTCATGGAGATTTGATCAACGCTGCGAAAGACGAATGGTAAAATAAAAAAACAATGCTTATATAACAGTTATAAAAAAACATCATTTATTATTATTTTCGTGATATGGAGAAATGGGTCTAGCGTACAAAAACACATCAGGTCAGCAGAGAGTAGAAAGATTCTGATGAAAGTCACCGAATGATAAGAAAGATGACGACGTAATATCTAAATACACGATTTAACAGTTAAGGGAATTTCTAATCCTTCTTTTCGACTTGTTGGGCGGCCTTCTTGAGCTGCTCGTTGAGGTTCTCGGAAGCCTCGACGGCGATGTCGACGGCCTTCTTGGTGAAGCTAGCAATTTCCTCTTTGATTGGGCCAGCGTTCTGCTTGACCTGCTCGGCGAAGTTGTTGCTTTCCTTCACCAGCGTCTGTACACCCTCGTTGAATTGTTTCTGCAGCTGTTCGGCGGATTCCTTGGCGTGCGGTACTTGGGCATTGATGTCTTCGACGACCTTGTTCAATTTGGTCTTTATGTCACTCCAGACATTCTGGAGCTCGGGAGTTTTCTTCTTGATCTGAAAATTGTTATTCGATCGTTTAGAAACTTATTTGGAAACCAATAGTATGGCTATTGGCCACATAAAAATTTCCCAATGATGCGTGATAAACAGAAAAATTACGTATAGCGGCAGTGATCATTAATCGTTAGCTCAACGCGTGCAAAAAGCTATATACTCTCGATGAAAGTATGAGAAATGGTTGGATATATTCGAGCGCAAAATTACCTCCTCAGACACGTTATCGATGTAGCTCTGGACATTGGTAACGAAGCTCGAGCTCTGGTTCTTGAGGGTGTTGACAACGGTCTCTTGGTCGGGAATGTTGATCTGGTTCTTGATGTTCTGGGCAAGTTCGTTGAGGTTCTTCTGGGCGTTGCTGATGAATTCGGGAAGTTGGAAGGGTTGCTGGGCGACTTCGGCCTCCTTGGGCGCAGCCCAGGCGCAAGCGATGAGAGCTACAAAAACGATGCACTTCATGTTTGCAAGATATTTGACTTTTTATACAGACACTGTCGAGCACGAGATACTTTGCCGTTGGGAGCGAACTACAAACTGACATAGACGCACTCCGGAGTCTCCATTTATAGGAAAGTCTTATCACGTTCACCGCCCGCGCCGGGGCAAAGTGCCGTTTATCTCCTGCCGCTCGCTATAGCGCGCGCTATGTACCAGCGCACACTGGTATTATAACACTTAGTTCTTCGTCTAAAGCTTCGCACCCCTTTCTGAAAAAGACCTATTAATTTTTATCGTCTTTCATTCTCGTCTTTTCTATCGCATTGTCTGCGACTATTGTTATCCAAAATTATCTATTCGCAACTCCTCTTTTTATTTTATACGATGATTGTCTTTTCTTTGATTTAAAAGCTCCGCGAGTACTTTAATCAATGACATCATTTTAAATGCATACACTAGCTATTTAATAAATAGTTAGTTTTTCGAATGAAAATTCATAATAATACGTTTGTTCTAAACTACATAGTCGTGCCTCTAATACGTTTAAATAATAAACGACTACTCAAATCTTAATACTTTTTGCGATGAATGTTTGTTTTTAACTGTTTTTTTAACTTGTTTCTCATTTGCATGCGTGATAAAATAAATTGTGTTCGAATCCACTTTACATAATATTTAGATAACAACAGGTATGCGTTAATTTTGATGGACACTGTCGTTAATGATTTGTAGAGTATACTTCATGCTAAATGGAAATAGTGATCTTGAGCTCTTATTCAATATTATAATTTTTTGATAGATAGCTTTAAAATTCTACGTATAACCATGAATGCCTGAAAAGGAAAATTATTCCAGCACGTTATCGCTTAGCTATGGAGGCGTTCCAACTATGGAAAGTTTTTAAACATAGTCAGCACAGACAATGACTCCCTAGTTTAATGTAAAATATGATCTTATCGTATTTATAATTTAAAAACTATTTTTAATTACGATGATTTCGGTTTCTGTTGTCTATAAAATATCTTATGTACTTTTGTGTTTGGAAGTCTTTATTAAGCAAGTTCTATAATTTCATAACGGATCGGGGAGTATTAACCGAATCACTCATTATTTTTTTCAACTAATTGCTAAAACGAAAATTGATATAATGTTATCCTTTTTTTAATTTATGTCAAATACTTCTCAAGAGTACGCGAAAATTTTTATGTACAATATTGCTATAACTGATGACACTAATGCATACCTTGCATTTATAGTGCTGTGCTTGGACTGATATCAAATGAGTATGTCAAATTGAACTGAAAATTATATTTGCTTTAATACCTAATCTAAAGTAAATAATAATATCAATTAAGTAATAGTAATTTCAAGTAGTTGACGGTAATACAAGTTTGATAAAAAACATTTAAAAACTTGAATTTTTATTCAAAAAAGTTTGTAAGTCATAATAGCTTTACGCGACAGAGTTTTTTTCAACATTTATTGCTAACTTTTAGAGTGCTAATCATCATAATCAGCGAAAGGTCAACGAGGCCATCGTATAGTTGAATTTATCAATTTATACTTACAAGACATCAGTCTTCGGACTTATTTAGTCGCTTTAATTTCATGTTTATCTACATTTGTTTTAGGAAATTTCAATTATTCAATAGAATACTTCTAAATTTGTCTTTTTAAAAAATTCTCACGAGGGATAATACATTTAAATTAAAAGAATAGGATTAAATTTCGATCCCGTTTAGTCTGATAGCTATGTATATATTATCTTCTAATTAATACGTGAAAATTACTCTACAAAGACTCAAAAATATATACCTAGTTGACTTATATTAAAATTTACAGTGAAAAACGTACCAATCAGCATTTTGGTACATTTTAATGTTCCTTTTTCATGATAAAAAATTACTTGCATGTTTCTTACATAATGCAAGAATATATGATAATTTATTAGTTGATTGCTTTAAAGTCGTAGTTTTCTTTTTTTAGATTACGTAATATTTCTACCCGAGTTATACAGTGGAATCTGATGCATTATGAATCAACGGGATAGTAAATACTACTCTTTGAGATTATATAGAGAATAAAAGTAGGCATACAAAACTTTTATCGCGAGTTCATTGGCGTACAAAAATCATATCATGCTTTATTCTCCGTGATGCAAGAAAACAACTTCCAAGAAATGCTAACTTTTAAGAAGTTTCAAGATGTCGGCAATGTTTCCCAACATACATTCTTGTACAAAGAACTCTGAAATCGTTTAAATTATTTATCTCCAAGTTCATTGTACTAAGTTATACTGCTTAAATCAAAATTTTAACAAATATTTTAAAGATTGGGCAATTGGCTATTAACTATACGCTATTCTGTGTGTAAATGTGCTTTTTATTAAATTTAGTTACACATGTGGATGTGACAATAACAAATCTTTGACAAAATAGAAAAATATAAAATGTACAATACTTTAACCTTGTAAATGAAGTTCGTTTTAAGTAACGAGTATTTATTGATCAATAAATTTTGTTTAAATAGATTTTTGAGAAGTACAAATGTCATTGCATTATTGTTTAGGTAATGGTTGCTGCTGTATTAAGTTAAGTATTTATTCATGATGATTTGTTTTCATCGCTCTTCGGGATTATCTTTCCAGCTTCTTCGCTTATCTTTTTACCGAAGTTATCTAAAAATTCTTGGCCTTTAGCGAGGAGCTCCTCGAGCTTAGGCTTGGCATCATTAAAAGCTTGAGAAATTTTGTCTCCGGCTTTCTTGAGTTCATCTTGGAAATTGGGTTCTTGAGATTCATCGTTTTGCGGTGCAGCGCTCACCTACGGCAATCAAAGATTATGATTAATAGGACTAAATTGGGATGTATTTTTATTATAATACTAATGATTTCTACAAAATCGACATTTTGTTGTAAACTTTTAATAGTCAATAACACTTGATAGTTTTTTTCTTCATTGCTGATGTATTAAGTAATAACATATAGATAAATAGAAAAGTAATTTTCACTGTTGTCACTATAGAAAAAACTGTTTTTGTAATGACAATTATACGCAATGTTTATACAATTTGAAACTACTATTAATTTTACTTCAATAATAAAAAACGTGACGAAGAGAAATATTGCATATTCATAATTTCGTAAAAAATATTAGATGTACGCTTAATTAAGTCTAATTACTCCAAAAAAAGCCAACAATAGATTTTATTCATATCGGATGTACGTTCAATTAGGTCTAATTTTGCCTCCAAATCGTAGAAGCTGGACAATTTACAATTTCGATAATGTTAAGGGAATAAACTGGTGGATAAAGCAAAATATATGTGTGTTTGGAAACAATGTAATCCAATGGACTGCTGAATTGAAACACAAATGAATTTGGTTTCACTGAAATATGAAATTATCCGTAGAAAAGAATCTAGTATATATTTCAGTACATAGTTCGTCCTGTACAAAACTGATTGATTTATTGTAGTAACGAGAGTATTACGCACGCGTTTGAACAAATAATTGAAAGTAAATTAAAATAAACACTTGGAAAATATTCAAACTAACCTGCATGAGGCAGATGGAGAAAACGACGAGTAAAGCGAGGATGAAGTAACGTGCCATGTTGAACAATTTGTAAGTTTTATTGATAATGATTTACCGGGAGAGCGAAGACGCTGTACGAGCTACGATAGATCGTGGCTAACTGAGCTTTGTCGAGTTGAGCAGCGGTTAGTTGTAGTATCAGCGATAAAGAGGAGATATAGATACACACCAAGCTGTCCAGTATGTACGAGGTCGGAGGTCGGACGAAGGCTAGTGCAAGAGCCGTTCGTTGCTCGCTTCCGCCCCTTGTTCATTACACATTCAACGTAATTACTTATTTTCACGATTGCGTCTATCTTGTGTTTGCTCACTATCTAGAGCTAGTCGATAACTTTTTCTTTTTCTCCGCTTTTCAATGTTTCTTCAAACTCTGACTTTCAATTTGTTTTCTCGCATGCGTTTTGTTTTGCATCGTCTTAACAATTGTTTTAACGATACAGTTTACTCGATGAGAAAAAAAATTATACGGCTTAAAGCGTTTTAAATTGTATAACGAGAATAATTAATAATACACGTTATGTAAATGCCATTGGTGCACGCATTAATCCAGTGAAGTAAAAAATTGAATTACTTAGAATTCGAATACAAAAGCAATTACTTAATTTTACTATTTTTAGCTCTCTTTCTTTCTACCTACCTTTTAATTTACTGTATACATTTAAATCGAGTTGTCCATTCAGAGGAAAGTATGGGGGCTGCTTTATTCATCAAATGAATAGTTTGCCAACGCTCTTAATTACTATAACCGAGTGTATAATCCGGTCTATACCATTCAAAATAACAAGATTTAATGATTTATTGTACTTAATATTTCATTAATGTTATTTTATTGAGCAACTCTCTTTATTCGTACTCCTTTGGATATCTAGAATACATGTGAGCTCGACCTCATCTTTAATTGAAAGCTAATTTCGCATACTCAAATAATGCATTTGCAATTGTTTATTTGCTTTCACGAATGATTCATAGTTATATCTAAAATGCAACACGAACACTTCGATATATCAAGTAATAGTCTAAAATAAGTACCAATGCTAAAATTTTTTTGAGAGCTTATTACGTAATACATTATTAATCGTTGCCCATATTTATTCATTGTGATATAATCAAAAGAAGTGTTATTGAGCATACTTACATATATACTCGGATAGAATAGAATACTCATATATACTCGCGAAGCATTGTTTCGATTGTACTATCTGGCGTATAGAGGAAAGATACACGGAAGTAAGGCATAATAGATTTTCACGCATCTGATTCTTGAATCGTTCGAGTTTTTCCGTTGATTATTCAACAGCCACTGAGTCGTGAACAATCAAATCAAGTGTAAGATTCTTTTGCGTTCTTATTATTGCATGTATTCCGATACCAATCAAAAAGTTCACCGTGGAAAATGAGAATTTTACGTCGCAAAGAAGTTGGTTATTTTGTTGAATGCGCACGTGATTCAATGGTCTATTGTGCCTCCAGTTGTTTACTCTATTCTAGAAACCTTTGACTCGATGATTCACAGATATGCAACTTGTTAAGATGACAGCCACGTTTATCATTTCATAAGTCATTGTTGATCTCTATTTTATACTACTGTAAATATTATAATAGACAGAATGTTGTTTTTTAATTCAACGAATAAAACAAAGTCGTAAAATATAAATAGTTTAGAATTTATTGAATCAAACATAAATTAAATATAATGAAGTTTGCATGTAAAAATTTTTTTCAGATAAAAGTAATGTAATACAACTATTTCTATATAAAATTCTTAAAATACAAGACGACATTCCATTTACAATTTCGTAATTGAAAAACGCTTTCTCGGAGTGGAAGGTTTAGCTGAAAATTGTTTCGAAATAGATGCCTCGGTCGTTGTCGAGGTTGTAGTTGCTGTATGAAATGCCTGACGCGCTTGTCTAGCTTTGATTCGTTTGAGTTCAGATCTAGAAGATGACTGGAAGGTGTCTAGTACGCCGAGGACCAATTCGATTATCGGTCGGTGTTGGGATGGTTCCATTCGTGGTTTACGAACTGGCATTTCGATCGAGCCTGAATCGTCCATTTCTGTTGGCATAAGTGATAAATTCGAGGAACCTCTGGCTATCATTTCAGTTTGGCATCTTGACAGGCTTATCAACAGTAATGCAAACAAGATATTTTCTTTTAGTCCCATTTTTTGACTTGATATTCTAAAGAGATCAAATGATTTTCAAATATTCTATCATCGTATGTTTTATTTAGAAGTTTAATAATGAATATACGAATCTGGAAAGAGCCATTTTTACCTAATTATTGTTTGAAGATTTCGTCGAAGACCACTTTATGAAAAAGTATTTTTTACAAATAAAAATGCAACGACTAATTACTCTTCTCAAGTGACTCGCGATGATTCAGTTGGACTCTGTAGATATGCATTTTCTTACAACATGTCAGCTAAATTTTTGCTACAGTAGCGCGTTTTAGGTTAATATGTCACTGTTGCATCAAGAATTTATTTTGAAAAGTTGAACGAATTGTATTTTGGCATCGTTTTAAGTTTTTACCTTGAACTACATAAGACGTTACTGCATACAGATGAAACGAAATCGAGCATTCTTATGCGATTAAAAAATTTTTTTAAATTTGATATTGCCAAACCAATAAAATAATGGATATATATTCATTTCTTATAAAAAACTACAATTATAGGGAATAAGGATCCAAAGAAAATTTTTTTAAATATAATAATTTTTTAACTAGTTTTATTAATAAGTTATGGTCTTTATATCATAAAATTAACTATTAAAACTGAATTTCTCAAATAGACAGGTATACATGAATCATTTCAATATTACATAAGTTACCTCAAAAATAGATACAATATTATACAACTCAACACTGCTGCCTTATCGATTGCAATAATACTTCTAAATTCTTATCTTTACATTCATTAATAGGGACATTCCATATTTGATTTTCTTGCGTTTGTGTAGGTTGGGGATTATTGGTTTTTACAAGACTAAATACAATAGGACTTACAAAATCAATAACTTTTCCAACCAAAACTGATTGTTCGTTAAGCATGAACGTAACAATATCACCAGGAATAATTGTACCTCCACTTACAGCACCACAAACTTGATCGCGTGGTAAGGTCAAAGTAAATTGGGAACATGATTCAAGATTAGGTTGATTAGCTGGCAGGTGAACAACTAGATTTGGTGATGTAGAGATAGGACCAAGTTGATTGACTGCTCTGTTAATAAAAAAGTTTCGAGATGGTGAAACAGTTAGTCCTGGCAATGCATTTTGTGGTTTTTGTAAAGGTAATTGCGATAACTTTGAAGGAAAAGTATTTGCTGTAGTTGCTGGATTTGCCATTGACAATGTGCAATTGGTAATGGAAGAAGTAGCTGCATTTGTATTACTCGATGGAGTTGTCAAAAGAACTGGCATCGTAGAAACTGATGGTGCTGGTAGATTTTTGTTATTTAGTGAGTTTGGATTATTGTTGGCACAATCAAGTTTCCTTTGTTGTATGCGTGAATTCGATAGCAAGGCAGCAGCACTCACCGAATCAGTAATACGATCTACTGGATTACATCCTTCACATGGAGATGATTTTTCAGAAGTATTTGACGTCGATGTAGGAGATAATGAAGATAAAATATCTGCAATAGCATTAACTGCATTTTCCAATTTTTTAAGACACTCATTGTTAGAAGATTGACCCAGTTGTTCCGAAGGTGAGTCTATGTTTGATGAAACTGGTGCCGACAATGGTGGATGCTTAGAAAAAACTTTTTCTGATGATTTATCTATCTCTCCGCCTAAACATTTGTTACTTGATGGTGTGAGTGGCATATTTTTAAGTTTTTTCACAGGCGATTTCGATTCTTCTGTTGAAAGAGCCTTACACAGCGAAGAAGCATTAGATGCAGAACTAATAATTTTCTGAGCTGTATTTTCAAGTTTTTCAAGCGGCGATTCGTCGTCGTGAGAGTTTGAGGATAATAGAGAAGCGGCACTTGATATAACGTTAATAATTGAATGAGCTGTATTGCCAAGTATTCCTAGAGGCGATTCGTTATCATCTGACTCTGGCGCTGTATTTTTAAGTTTTTTTCGAGGTGATTCACTACCATCAGAGTCTGGCGATAATAAAGAAGAAGTTTCCGTTACACCTCCAATTGCTGAATCAGTTGTATTTCCGTGCTTATTTAAAGATAATTCGCCATCATGTGAGAGTGAAGAAGAGGCATTTGTTAAAGCTGAACCATTCGCGTTACCAATTTTATTAAATGGTGATGCAATATTATGCGTGTTTCCTTGTTTATTTGATAATTGCGTTTTAGAATTTACTGTTGTGTTGGGTAACGGCGAAATTTGGTTGCCAGACACTTCATTTTTTTTACCAACATATTGAGGTTTAGAGGCAGATGGAGGTGATGTCGACTCGTATATATTTTCATGGTATGATGGTGTAGAACCTAGCTGTTGTATTGGAGATTGATTATAAGATTCTACGTTTGCGTTATGTTGCAATGAGTTTGCCGGCGAGTTAAGCGTGGGTGAAGAAATTCCAGAATATGAGCCCTTTCCAAGGTTATTATCTGGAAACTGTGGGTTTGAGGCTGAGTAACTATTGTTCTGAGTTGGATGAGTATTTGAAGGCGTGGTTCCATCTCGTGGTAGTGACTTTCCTTGCTCTTGAATTGGATTATTGTATGTTGAGATTTTTGGAGAGTTGAATGTCCCAGAAGAAACTGAAGAATCTGTACTTTTTTCGAGATTTTCATTTGGCGATTGTGTATTTAATGACGGACCGTTAGCGGAGTCAACATTTTGAGATGGATAGGTATGCGGCGGCGATGTCTCAATACTATTGTATGTGTTCATAGGGTGCGATGGCGTATACCCTGCCTCTTGTACTGGAGATTGATTATTAGATGCTAAGTTTGCGTTTCGTTGCAATGAGTTTGCCGGCGAATTAAAAGTGGGTGAAGAAGTTCCAGAATATGAGCTCTTTCCAAGGTTATTATCTGGAAACTGTGGGTTTGAGGCTGAGTAACTATTGTTCTGAGTTGGATCAGTATTTGAGGGCGTGGTTCCATCCTGTGGTAGTGACTTTCCTTGCTCTTGAATTGGAGCTTGATT